ATTCCATGGGAGCAGGGTACATGGGTGAGTTTCCCTCGTTAATGGCTAGGGTCATGTTTTGACCTGGTTGACATGAAAGCAGCAGGCAGCCAGGCAGCCAAGAATAACAAAAACTCTGGCAGCCAGTCACATGCACAAAAGCGTGAGACATTAAAATTAAAGCTGGCCAAGATGACACGCAACCAAACGGTTTTGTACACCCAGACAGGGAGTGGGAGTGTGACTATCTTTAAATGTATCTATTAATCGGCAGGGTATTTTAATTTTAGTCAGAAGATTGCAAGGCAAACGCTGCTCTCAATTCCCAGCATTTCTCTGTCTCAATCTCTGAGTCTCGCTATCGCTCTGGCTGGCTGTCCCTCGGTGTTCCCATCTCTCTTCCTCTCTCTGTGTATCTCTAGATAGGCCTAGCTTAAGAGCGATCTCTTACTCTCTCGCTCTCGCTCTCACTTTCGCTGTTCTCTTGACTCGGCGACTATAAATAGAGGCCCTGCCTTCGCTCTGAGCTTAGTCTGTTCGTGGCCCTCCTAGTGTTTACATCAGTGATCGTGATAGTGATTGCTCTTCCACCTCAGCATAATTATCTGAGCCATGGACATCCCCTGACATCTGGATAACCAGGAAGAGGCCTACTGTGGTAAGTCTTAACCATGACAATTATATTATATATAAAGATGTATCAGGCTAGGTTTATAATCAGCTTTGAAGCTTGATTAAATTCCAATAACAAATTACACAGTTCTTTAAAAATTAATGCCTTATAATCTAACTTATTTCCCTCTCAAACACTAAACGTTGCCTGAGCATAATTTATATAAAGGGTTTCGCTGCTATTAATAAAGATATATTGAATAGACACACCATCTTCCTAGGCGAATATTTCCCAACAAGCGTACGCTAAATGTCTATTTTGTGTTTAACTCAAGCCCCAAGATGTGCTTAACTTGAGACGCCCCATTCGAGGATGGGGGATAGGGATGGGATCTACCCGTCACATCACATCCTTGGGTTACTCCTTCCACTCCGGCCGGGAAACAAGTGTATGTACGTGTTCCGCCGGAAAGCCCAGACATCGCAAAGCCACGACTAGGCAGTTGAGAAATTAAATTCTAGTTACGCCCATGGAATTTAAAAATAGCAAACAATTGGCGGATGGTGAGGAGAAAGAGGAGGGTCGGCTTTTCCAGGGGCTGAAGGATGCTTGGATGCGGTTCTTGAACGTGTTCAAATTGCCGAAACGCGTCTAAATTATGTTAATGTTGTATGTACGTGTCCCGAAGGCGGCCAACAAATTGAATATGTATTTAAGCTTTAAGCCAGGAAGAGGCATTTATCGGGACACGTCACTGTTTAATCTATAATTTGGCCCCAATATCTATATCCATATTCTTGGCCAGAAAGAAGTGAGTCTAAGTAAGAGTGAATTTCAACAATTTTGGCATCCCATTGTTTGCCCTTGTCATTCATACATTTTTTATTTCTCCGCCGATATTTTCCTATATATATATATGGAAAAAAGCCCGACTGCTGCTGCTTAACAATTCCTGTTCATCTTCTTCGTCACTTTTAATGAGTTTTTGTGCAAGGTCTGGCATTCCCTGCGCATTCCATTCCCCGGAACTTGTTGGCAACAATGTCAGCGAAATTGTCGCCGCTTCTGATAATCAGGCAAGAGACCGCCTCCTTCGGAGTGGGCGTGGGCGTGGCCATGACGCATTGTCAGCATGATTATAATTTCCATTAAGACAATTTTGTAGGGCCTGCCGGGCGAGCCGAGCAAGTCATATTGAACTAATTTGCATTACAAGGCGAGAAACAGTAAAACCCAAAAGTCGACTTCGAGTCGGAGTAGGAGAAGCAGGAGCATAAAAGCTGAAGAAAACATCTTTCGAGTTTATTTCTTTGTTGTGCTGGGGTATTGCCTGGGAATCTGGGCAACATAAGCCACAAAACAAGCACAGTGACTAAGAATTTCCAACTCAACGGGTGGTGGTAAAAGTATAAAATTTAACGCGCTGACTTCCTTTAATGGTTACGTTTAATAGGACTTGTGCCTTTTAAAAAATATTAAAAATAGCTACTAACAATTTGTTGGGATTTAAGTAGACTTTGAGTATTTACATCTTTAAAATGCAACATTTTGTGGCTAGATTTCAATTCATTCGGTTCATCTTAAATACGACAGACTCACTTATTTAGAATGTAAATCTGTAACAGAAAATGAATCTGGCATAATGACTTAATATATATGCAGAGAAATTATAAAATTACGGTTTTTATGCTCTATTAAATATGTTAAAGTTTGTCCTTTTTTAATAAAGAGAAAGTACGATTTCTGGTGAAAGAAAATGTACAATTAGAACCTTAAAAAGATCTTTCGTAGGCCTTAGATAAGGTAACATTTAATTGTATTGATTTGTGAGAATTTACCTTGGAACTTTTTTCTAATTGCTAATTTCAAAATAACCTATTTTTTCATACTTTTCTCTACCGATAAATACATCAATAATTTTCTTAGTTTAGTTTCTTGCTTGCATGCTCATCAAGATTGTGTGAACTCAAAGATTGCTTCGAATATAGCAAAAGCTAATCCCTATAAGGATACACCTTGGCCAAGACATGGACCCTTTCATGATTTCAAACAAAAACAGCTAAACTTTGCCACACACCGATGGAGGGCGGTCGGTCGGTTATGGATAAATCGAGACAAAAGACAAGACAGCAAGCTGACACTCAAGACATCACATCACACATACGCCACGTGGGTCCGGAACTCCAGCTGAGACTGGGACTGGGAGTGGGACTCAAGTTTCGGGAGGCGAGCGTGTATGTAAATGATTTAGCTGTCCAAAAAGTTAGGCGATGCCAGCGAAAACAACAGCCGAGAAATGTGGCAAACGAACAAGCGAAAACTATGAAATATGCGAAGCATGTGCAGACAATTTGGCCATAACCTTTGACAAGGCATCAGGACATCAGGATGAATGGTGGGACGTATGATAAGTTTTGACGAGATGTAAGTTTTCAATAGCCGTGGCAAGAATGTGAGGAACAAAACATTGATGAGACCAGGCAAAAACACTGACAAATTGAAAACGAGATGTGATAAATCAGGCAAAGAGTTGAGCGAGTTCGGGGATTCTTTCAGGATGCTAGAGCAAAAAGTGCGCTATCACTTAACATGGCTAATCATTGCAAGGATCAACTTTTTCATCATTTCATTCAAAGTTGGCTAACTAGAGTAGGAGGATAGTTATAACATTGCCTTTTTTATTGCTGTTAGCTGCTGTTGCAGCATTTTAATTAAAATTAATGCGCCATAAGCTTTAAATTAATGCCACTTCTTTGCCCCAGAGCCTCTTCGCCAAGCAAGCCATAAAAGAGGCATTATTGCATGCGTGCGGGGTTGGCTAGATGTGGATGTGGCTAGAAGGGATAGACCCAGATAGTTGGGACTATGTGTGTCGTCAGGCTGCCGTCCCATTGTGCTCATTCGCATCGCATAAATAAGGACTCAGGCAGGATCTAGGCATCCGGTTGTCGGGTTTGTCGCTGCTCAAAAACCACATCCCAGAGCCTTTCCCCAGCGAATCAGCCAAGTAAATTCGACTTACGAATTTGTCAGGGCGGCCAATTAGTTTATTTTATTGCAATTTATAAGCGGAAAAATATGTAGATGAGCATTAATTCTTATTTACATGACCAGGCCTATCTAATAAAGCACCAAAATAAGCAGTCATAAATCAGGGTGAGGATTTAAAGGGAACTTATTTACTTTTCAACTAATTTTATTTATACTTGGAATGGTAATTTATGTAATTCTTCATTATAATGTTTTTGGGTATGAATATTGAGTGTTTTGTATAGCAAATAATATCTTTTGAGCTACATTTTGCAGAGCTTTTGTGTGAAAATTAATCCAAAATCATTTTGCTTGTTCAAAATATGCATTATGTGCATAATGCACTGCTTCCCATTCAAGCACAGTATACATTTTTGGCATTCTACTTTGCTCAACATGCACAGAGAATTTAATTATGAATATTTATAAACAGTTTGCCCATAAATCTAATCATCTCGAAAGCATTCGCGCAGCAGCAGAAAAGATAATGGACAGGCAGCCCAGAATGATAAATTTTGGTGGAGGACTTTCCACTGTTTAAATTTATGCAAAGTGAAAATAATAGTTAACTGGCAGTTTTCAAAGGGACAGAGCAAATTAGCCTAATTGAAAGTGCAGTTTGCATAGTCAAAAATGTCAAGTACCCGTCTCTCTGCCGGTGTGAAGGGATATAAGGAGACTAGTCAGGACATGTGAATGATGCCAATGCCTGTGGTCGATTTCAGGATGATGTTGATGATGATGAAGTCTGACCGGTTGCATAACCCATTTACGAAATTAATCCAATTCCAGGCAGCACTTCGGTACCCCAGGGCGTATGCGTGATGCTAGCAAGAGCTGCTCCTATACGACATACAAGGTTAAGCTTCGTTAGTTTTGCTGTGACTAATTGGAAAACAAGTGGGAGAGTTCATTTAATTGCCACTACAACAAAAAAAAAGAGAGAGAATTTTTCAAAGTTTGTTTTTTGCCACAAATTAAAAGTGTTCAGCCATAGCTACTGAAGCAAATCAAACAATTTCCTAGCTGAAACTACAGATTTCACGAGATGAAAGGGTTGATTTTAATTTACATTTAATCTGGATTTCATAAAACTCTCGCTCATAATAATAAACAAATATTTTCAAGTTAATAAAGAAATTTTATAAACAGTATTTTATAATTAAAGTGACAAGTGAGAAGAGACCACAAATTAAGTTTTTTCTGTTTGGTTTGTTAAATTAAATATATATTTGCTCAACTTGCTTACTAAAATGATTTTAATTAAATAATTTAATAACATTCCCACAAGCAATTCAACTTATTCCTATCCATTCCTCATGAGTTTAAATTCAAAAGAATACCAGGCAAAAGTCAGTCTCTATCCTAAATCGTAAAGATCTGGGTAATTTCATTCACACACAACATCAAGCTCATACAATAGAGCCTCGTCTACATTTCTCTCCCCTGTGTGCTTGGAGATTTGAAGAGCACACACTGGAAAGCATGGCAGATGCGGACAAGGGCCATGCCAAGGTTAAGGGCCGTCCACACTGCCATCCAGATACCCACAAGCCACATGTCCGCAAAGAGCAACCATTACCAGAGTCTTCGCCGGCAGCCACCAAGCCGCAGCCCACCAGGAACCACCACCAACGTCAGCGTCGGAATGGTCGACCATCGTCCAGTCGATATGTGGGAGCGTCGTCTTCTACCCAGCCGCTGCCAAACATTGTGGTTGCCGGAAAGTACCGCCTGCTGAGTCGCATCGGTCAAGGTTCCTTCGGCGAATTATACCGTGCCGAGGGCCTCAAGTATGGTGAGCTGGTGGCCGTCAAACTGGAGAGGGCCGCGGTCAAGCACCCGCTGCTGGCCCGCGAGGCCAAGATCTATGGTATCCTTCAGGGCGGAGTGGGTATACCCCACATGAGGCACTATGGCACCGAGGGGGAGTTTAACGTCATGGTACTCGATCTGCTGGGGCCAACGTTGGAGGATATGCTTAACTTGTGCTCCCGCACCTTCAGCATGAAGACCATCCTGATGCTAGCCGATCAGATCCTAATCCGTGTGGAGTATTTGCATCTAAAGTGTTTCGTCCATCGGGATATTAAGCCAGATAACTTTCTGCTGGGCCGAGGCCGCCACACCACTCAGGTCTTCATGATTGACTTTGGTCTGGCCAAGAAGTACTTCAGCCAGAGCACCCAGCTGCACATTGACTACACCGAGAATAAGGAGCTGGTGGGCACGGCCCGCTATGCCAGCGTTCGGGCTCACTATGCGGAGCAGAGTCGTCGGGATGATCTGGAGAGTGTGGGCTACCTGCTGCTCTACTTCCGACGCGGACGCCTTCCTTGGCAAGGCATCCGGGCGGCGTCCGAGGTTCAGAAGTACGAGCGGATCGCCGAGTGCAAGGCCTCTGTTCCGATCGATGTCCTCTGCTCTGGACTGCCCATGGAGTTCTTTCTATACCTAAAGTACTGCCGGAATTTACCTTTCGAGCAGAAGCCCGACTATATCTTTCTGCGTCAGCTGTTCAAGACTGTCTTTCGGAATCAGTACAAGAGATTCGATTTCCAATACGATTGGGACCTAAAGCGCAACAAGCAGGGTCACTACCCGAAGCAGGTTGATACCCGGGGTCAGAGGGCCAGAGAGGGTCATCGCAATGGAGACACAGATCGAGACCGAGACCGGAAAGTGGACAAGGGCAGAAGGGATATGACTGGGAAAAGGAACCACGAGCGGGATCGCGATAGGGAGCAAGATCGGAATCTGGTCACTGAACGCTATGGGCACCGGACTAGGGATCAGGGCCGCGCAGGCTACACCCACAGGGAGCGGGGCCGTGAAAGAGATCGCAATCGAGATCGTCAGAGGGAGCGATACCCTCAGGATAGGACTCACGCCTGTTCCTGCAGTTCCTGTTCGTTTTACCGTCATCATCGCCCACGTGACCGCCAACAAGGCCATGCGACGGAGCGCAGGAGGAGTGCCCGGGATGAGCCACCGTCATCCCATCGGCACTTACCGCCTTGCCTTTAATATTATGACGTTCGCACATGTGCCGGTTTCCGTGTGTTTTGTTAATTAACTGCTGGGCAACTATATTTAGCATGACTTAACCGTTTACCCATCTCCGATCCTTTGTTCGTCCAATCAATGGCTCACATAATTGGCACACAAAGAAGCCAGCTGGCAAACAATAAGGAAACTTTTGCCTAGCATCCTTCGAGGAGAAATTGATACCCTGGCGCCGTGCAGCATGCTACATTACTTCCATCATGTTTGTCAGCCATTCAAGACAAAAGATTGGAGATGTTTTTACTACATACTTCCATTTATCAGAGAAAGGCTCCTAAAAATCCACGTGCCAATGATACATTTTTGTGATTATATTTTATAGCCGATAGAGAAAAACTCTCTTTTGTTTTTAAATTTTGTTCATGCAATCAATAAAAATCCATAAAATAATGGTTATATGAAATTTTTAATTATTATAATTCCCCATGAACCTTCTGCCATTTCAAATATTACAAGAAACCGAGTAATCTGGGCAAATTGCTTTCTCTAAAACTACTACTTTCCTTCCACGATAACTTCCCACAATATATCCTGATTGTTGCTGGCGGTGATGGCTTGAGTATGAGAATGTTTTCCGGCTAAGTGTAACGTACAGCTAGCTCATGTCAGCCTTTAGCAGGCAGGATATTAATAAAAGGGTTAATTATAAGGCCAGTCAGGACACGTTACGAGAACCCAACATGACTCGAGGATGTGTGGGGTGGCAGCGACAGGCTGGAAGCTGAGACCGAAGCTCATATAAAAGATTCCCCCAGTGGCTTGCAAGAAAATAGGGTCAGACCATTCCAGGCAAAGTAGTTTGCTTAGTCGCGCTGCAATAATGCGGACTATATCCATAGACCACCCACACCCAACACACACACATAGACCCTCACCTACCCACACTCAGATGTTGAGTTAACTATTTGCTTGCCCAAAGCGATTTTGGCCGAAAGCCCCGAATCCTGCGGCGATGATGAGATGGTCCAGTGGTGGGAGTATGAGTGTGAGTGCGCATAAATCTATAAATAACTCGCCGGTCTGTGACTTACACAGAGAAAAATATAGTAAAGTGAAAAATATTTGAAGGGATTTTTAGTTGACAAAAAAAAATGTACTTAAAAGAAATCCTTTTAGCGTTTTCTAATTTTTAAACATATATACATACAAGGATTTTCCATAAAAATATATCAGGTAAGATTGTTGAATTCATTTCTATTAATTACTAGTATGTGTTACTTTTTTTCTTTACTTTTTTCCAGGACAATATTTTTCCCACGTGCACACGTACACATACACTGGCTCAGACGTTGCCACGCCCATTTAACAGCCCAAAGTTTCCCGGCCCAAGTTGAGTCTGAGGAAGTCTCGGGACCAACTCCCACGCGATATCCTCTGGGCAAGTTTCCTGTAAGAACTTGAATGCATGCCTAATGGCGGAAGCCTCACACCGCCACAAACAAGGACACACACACATGGTTTCCTCACCCGGACGCACTCCCCCCGGTATATATGTGTTTCCATACACGTACATAACGCGCTGAAGCGTAAAAATATTTGCGGGCTTTTGGGCTCGGGATCTGGGATGTGGGATTTTCTCTGCGCTTTCTCGACCGCCGCATTTCAAATTAAGTTAATTTTTTTCGTTGAACAAAATGGCTACAAATCTGTGTTTTATTTATAAGTAGCACTGACCGAGTGAGCAGACACATTATGGATGGGCTGCTGGGCTCGGGCCGGGCGTCCTGATGGGTCCTCGATGAACTTCGGTGACATTCAAATTGGGCAGTTAACGGAGATTGTGCAATTTGCGGGTCAATGCCAAGTGCCGATGGCGGTCCGAGTGCCGAGTGGATGGGGATTGAATGGTCATGTGAATGGGTCCGATGGGATCGTTATACTTATGAGTGCCCTTAATAGGGAATAACTAGAGAATATGGCAACATGGCGTATGAGCACCATAGAAATTGTCTGAGAGGCTGCATAATTTAACTATGTGGATTAACTTATTGATACAATTTAATGGGGTAATTTTATTGTCTGCCAATATTTACGAGTATATTTGGATTTATTAACTACGTAAAGGTTAGTCTTAAAACTTTTCTTTTGGGGTTTTTAAATGGATTATTTAAGGTAAGATTTGTAAGTTTCTTCTCTAATACAAGTAGGTTCTTAAAGCCGCATCATCAACTATATTTTCAAGTAAGAGAAAAGCTTACTTTCCCCTAATTAAGGATATTTTCAAAGGACTTACTGGTTACATAAACTAAAGAGTTAAAGTTCCTTAAAAGCCACAAAACTTTTAATTAAATGCTCACTTTCATTTTCACTTGAAATTGCAATTAATTTAAAGAATCACTGGCTCATTGAATTAGCCACAAACGATGGCCATTTATTATTATTATAATTTAATCAGCTTTTCAAATAACTGGAGCATAACATTTCGGTGGTAATAATGTTTGTGCCTTGTGGCCAAAAATAAATTAGTCGACAAAGCAATTAAATATTTTGCATGTGTGGCAGGCATAAATTATGCAGCTGTATGTATTAATGAAAATGTATATGGCATTTGAGATTCTACATAAGAAATGGTAGCAATTAATTTCGCACTTCCATTGGTGGTTTATTTAAGGATTATAGTATGCATTAATGTTTTGTATGGCTTTTCAAATTAACTGTAAGATTTAATTTCAAGCAATTTATTTTTCAATCACCGGAGAGCCCTTGATATAGTAGTTTGAATGTGAGACCTAATTCCTGGGACCCTACTCCTGCAGCAGACCCAATAATTTGTCTTCTAAACCCCTCTATGGTTGTCCCTGTGGTCATAAATAATTCAATTGAAAATATGTTAAAAATTCAAAGTGAATTATTTACGCCGGAGACTCGGTACCGGGAGTTACACGGGTACTAATATATGTATATGTACATACGTGGCAGTACGTTAGGTTGTACAACTACACCCGTTGGGCCTGCCTGATAGCCTCTGAGGGGTCTCGGGCCACATAAATGAAGCCATAAATTTGCCTTCACTCACAAACAGACCGAATACACAAATCACGGACACACACACACACACACACACACACGGATGCTTTTCCGGCCCGTTCCGGAGTTTCACATTCTCCGTGGGCAAGTTTCATTGCATAACTCTGGGCGACTTTGTGGCCATGTTTCGCTCGACAGCGGCAGATGCTGCTGCTGTTGCTGCTGCAAATCAGTCAACATGGCAAATGATTACCCATGCCAATGGGACACAAGAGTGTCGATAAGCAGACGACAGGGCCGCGTCACATGTGGCGTATGATTAATGCGTCTGCAACGCGCTTAATGCTTTTAAATACGCATAAATGATTGCCATTGCCACAGGGATCTCCTTCCCTCCCCCTCATTGCGGCCTGTTGTCATCCTTATCCCAGTCCTGTTAATGCAACTGAAATCGCATTACTGGCAATCGGGATAAACCAACGATTCAAACTATCCACTGAGCTGAGGCCAAGACTCTCGGCGAGCCATTTATTTGATTAAGTGCGGACGACCCACTCAGCGAATGCATTACCATTGTGTGCTGCAGCTGCAAATCAAGATATATATGTTTGCATTTCAGAAATTCGAAATAAACCATAGTCTAAGGATAATGCAGGCGGGGAGGAATAATAAATGAAATGCGTATTTAACGAATCATTAAAGATGGGAAACTCGCTTTCCCAAATGTTGTTAATGTGACGATAAACGTATATAATGAAAAGTGTTTAATGAAAAGGATAAGAAAATAAAGAGATGAGATTTGATAACATATCTTTTGTTTAGCTATGTTTAATTTAAATTATAGTTAATTAAACTTCTAAAATATCTTTGAAATACATTTTCGTTCGATTTTGGCAAACATTTTGTGTGTTTATGATAAAATAACAATTTCAGAATAATTTAATTAGTGTTGTAAATGGCACTTATGAAGCGGAAATAGTTTAAGTTTTGCGATCTGTGTAAACAAACGAAACTCTTTAATATTTCTTATACTATACGCATTTCAAAAAATTACGTATACGTAATAAATTGTATTTAAAATTCACTTAGTATCCTCATTCTCATAATAATAAATTAATAAATCAATTATGTATATCTGTAGTCTTTATAGATAGAAATATGACAAATACGTAAAATGTTATTAAAATAATATTTCCCCTTTCAGTGTAACTAGAAATTTTCTGCTAGTACACAAACTTTCTTGGTTTTCAGAAACATTTTCCCATTTTACTTGTTAATATTAAATTTGACTGTGTTTTCTCGACTGTAAATGAGGGCTTTAGCTTGGAGTGTACCCGCATTAGGCATTACTTACCCAATTAAATAAGTCAATAGGATGGCCCGGCCACAGCTCGCTCGACTAGACTCGATTTGTGGGGTACACAACATTTTGGCTTTGTGTGTGCTTAACTTATTAGCTAATTAGTTAAATATTTGCGGACTAATCACACAGTTAATATTCACTCCTAAATCATCGCATAAGCCCGGTATCAAGAGGCCGTGTGGACACACAAACGAACTTCCATTTGATTCGCTTGAGCGTCTGTGATTGATGCGCTAATTGAACATTTAGTCGCAAAGGCAAAGGCAAATATTGATTTTATTGACACATATATCAGGCTCATCGGGCTGGGCCAGCAACAACAACAACGCTTTGTAAAAGTTTGTGTAAAGTTTCTTTGTTGTTGTTAAGCTTGTTTCGCTTTATTTATTTATTTTACTCAGTGGCACCGCACTTTTTTCCTCTTTGACCGAGCGAGCGAGAAGGCAGGACTGGCCGTGTGCCTCGTCCTTGCCGCATATCCCCCACGAAATTCCCCAATATGTACGCGTGTCTGTGTGCGTGTGTATGTGTTAGCCAAAGCGCTTGGCCATTAAACCAATTTTCAGGCAAACAAAAAGCGCCGAAAAGAGAAGGCGGCCGAAAGAAAGCAACAAACGCCAAAAGCGAGAACTGAATTCTTTTTTTTTGTTAACACACGGCTGAAAAGGGTAGCGAAAAGTTGTTTGATTTTGAATTTCAGATTCTAAACAAATGCTATACATCAATGTCAATGCGGTCTAGCAATTAACTTGAATTTTATTTAACTTTCATTATTGATTTGTTAGATGAGTATATAAAATTCAAGTAGATACAAAATTAACAGTTCTTAAAGTTTATGTTTTTAAGCTAAGGAATAAGGTAACTAATATTCTAGACCACACTTTGTTTATCTATAGCCTAGGTTCGTTTTAAAATTTGACAACAAAAAATGGCGCCTTCTTTTGTTCTTGTCGGGCTTCCTTTTCTACTCGAAGGGATGACCCTTTTTAATTGCTCAAACATTTAGGCAGTTTCACTCCTTTTTTCCAGGAGAAGCGTCCTTGACCAATAAAAGTAAAACGAGACGCATAGCTTAAATTAGTTTAGTCTGAAGAGGGAAGTGTAAAGGTGCTGGAGAGAGGGTTGAAATAGAAAACCCTGTCATTTCCTTAAGCGGCTTTCGGGCCTTTGTCCTGTTAATTGCCTTTGATTGCCGGCCCAACGATATCTTAGGCAATTAATTCTCCTTCGATATTCATTCCGGACTCCCCATTCTGTGTTGTATCTTAATTAAGAATTTTTCAGAATTTTCTGGTGGGCAAGGGGTTAGTGATGACAACAGCTGCTGCACGTTCCCATTTGCTGCATTATTTATGTGTGGAAATTTGCCAGAATTACCCAGTCTACAAATTAGAAGCAATAAGCTGACGTGTCTCTGGTTTTACCTAAAAGGTAAGTAACTAAATTATATACCTGAAATTACACCACGATTTTCTATATAATCTTCGATATAAATATTTAAATAGTTGATTGGTTACCGTTGAACTATATATAATAGGTCCTTTTAAATAGGACTTACCTCTTGCTTTGTCTCTTATTATTTTAGTAACTCCTTATTCCTGAATATACATAGGTGCCATATCCATTGTTGTAAGTAAGAAGAGAGAGAGAATTGAAATTGCTGGGAGGGAAAATGGAAAAGCAATTTCCAGGCCCTATTATCGGCTTAGAGGAAAATGAGCTTAATCGACTATTGACTGAATCTGCATGCATAATCCCGAAAATGAGCTTTGCCTAACCAAGCCGAAGGCGGGTCAATTGCAATTGAACTCAGTGTATCAGCTTAAAATGTTCTACCATCCAAAGCTTCTAAGAGGCTTTGGTTTAGCACACAATGACCCTTGGATAACAATTATTCTACACAATTGAGATGAGTTGTAGATGGTCGGGGGCTTTGCACACGAAGTATATATTCTGTAAATATTACTACCGTTTCGTCTAAAAAGTCTGAGTCTGAGTCTGAGTCGCTTTTCACTTAATTTAATGCACTCCCATTTCGGGTCTAGTGGTTCACCAATTGAAAATGTACTTCTGGCCTGTACTGACTTTATTTTGGAGCAAAATTGTCTGCCTCTTTCGGAATTAATAACATTAAAAGCTTCACCTGGCTTTGGCAAACACTACTGCGACAGTATAATTTCAAATGCAAATACCACAGCCAAAGGAGGCGGCTTGAAAGGATACTGCAGACCGCCGAGTCAGCCATTTTGCATATCTATTTCAATTTTCAAACTACTGCACATTGAAACAGACAAAGGGCTCTGGCAAAAAACTGTAATTTACGAGACGACAACAATTACAGAAATAAACACGCCACAGACAGAAGCTCTTAATGGTGACTCAAAGGATGTTGAATTACGGAAGCGGGAAAGGGAATGGAGATGGGTATGACTTCATTGAGAAATTCATTTAATGCCGGGCACGCAATATCAGCTGGGGAAAGTAGAAAGGAGTTGGAAGAGCTCTCTACCATAAGATACTCAGTAATCACTGGAAAATTGCAAAAAGTGTGGTTTACTTAAAGTCAAGAAAATTGCATGCGGTTCGATATTGTAATAAATGTCATTGAGGAGATGAAGAAAATATTGCTTTAATAAGTCAATTGAATTTCTTGACCTTTATTGATGTAAACAACACATAAATCCATTGGGCTTCAACACCGCTATAGTTACCCCTTACACGAGCTGAATATACTCTTATAATCCTTGTCAATCTGGTATCAAATACAAGCCAAATGGCAATTGTCCAGGACATGCATCCCGGTGAGCACAGAACACATCGCCTTTTGGAAGCTCATCCCTTTGTCTTTGGCCCAAAATTGTTATTGGATTTGCAGTCGTTCGAGTGGGGCTTTGTGTTGTGTCTGAATTGTTTATCAAAAAGGCAAACTCGGAGCGTGTTTTTATTATATATTTCATTCTCCTCGATGCGATTCCATCCTGGGGGGCTGTGCAACTTTTGCCCGGGAAGTGCAGAAACGAAACATTCGCACAGAACTTTCTAGTTTAGTTGGACAAGTTGCTTCTTTCTGGGAAACTTTTCGATGTCCTGCAGCGTCGACGGTCCTGTAGAGGGCTTGCCGGAGAGCAAATGTATAAATGCAATCGAGGGTGGATAAGGCGATGGTAGGGAGGGCGGGCTTTGGAAGCGGTTAAACATTTAGTGCCATAATGAGATTAAGCCGGAATGGGACAGAACTTAAATTTAATTGCATTGAGCATATTGTCCATAAAGCTTGCATAGTAATCCCACGGAGGCCCCATAAAAGTCCTCTGGGGTAATCTCTTAGCCGACATCAAATCCATCTCGTGTGTATCACGTACAACTGCTCGTCCCTCTCTCAATGCGAATAGGAATTCAAGGCACTCGCATATGATTCACAAGCCATTCAAGCTAATGAGTCTTGAACAAAAGTGACGTTCTCGGGATTTGCCACATGACCGGAATATTATTACGAGAATAAACCCATCTCTGGTTGGGAAAGGGGCCAAGACAATGGCAAACAAGGGCAAACAATGCTTGAATACAATAAATATAATTCGAAAGATGGTCTTTCGTATTTGTCTTTAATAATTGTTATTGTTTTGTATATAATTTTAAATTGAAAAACGAATGATAATTGGTTAATGAGGTAAACTCTAAGGTAAATAATGTTGTGGGAATCTGGCATGTAATCCAATCTCTTCTTTTCAATCTCTTGTATTAAAAGCTAGAAATTTCCCATCATGTTACCCTCTGTATTTAATCAATATTTTCCCAAAATAAAAGCAAATATAGGCAGGGATTCTGCCTGTGTTCAGTTAACACAACCATCTGAGGTCGAACGGAAGCAAATCTGATTTCAAAATGGGGGCACAGCCACTGTCAATTTCAGTGTTGGATTTGTGCAAAGTTTTTTGAAAATGAAATTCCTGCAGCAATTAGAATTTCTTCCATTATTTCTCTGATGAAAATTTTCGACAAGGAATTCTACAACTGCCAAAAGGCCCAACATTAGACCCACTTTCAATTAAATGCTGACGAAGAGATGGCAGGAACTTGAACCAACATCCGTTCGAAGCTCACCAAATTTTCCCAGCTCGCAGTACTTCATTCACGTAGCTAATTTTGGACGTAATTTCTTGTGTACTGACCCCCAGAGCTCCAGAAATGGCGTGTAAGCTGTCCAAGATTAATGATTTTTTCCCCCACCGCTGACGGCAGCTGCCCCTGCTGATCTGTGTGTCTGCTAGTGTGTATATGTATGTGTTTGTATGTTTTAATAATTAATGCATAAATAATGATTCACACAAACTGTGGTCAGCCGCTGCTGAGTGGACCGCAAAGCCCAGGGAAAAAACAGCTATATAACAAGGACGAAGAAAGAAAAGTGTCGAAAGGAGGAAAAGTTACCCATAACTAACCTGATTTTGCTGCTGCTGTTGCAATGTTTCTGCTGTGCTGGTGCTGCTGCTTCTGTTGGTGATGCTGCTGCCTTCCACTTCCGTTTCCGCTTCTCGCTCTCTCTCTTTCTGGCACACTCTGGCTGACTCGCTCACACAACGGCAACAACAACAATTTGGAACAGTTAATCCATCATCATTATGATTTTCTTATTTTGTTTTCCTTCTCTTAACTTTTAGTAGATGAACAATTTTTGGTTTCTTTGTGTTTTTTTTTTTTGTATTACTTTTTTACTTGTTTATTTATTTATTTCTTGCTGGATGTTGGTGTTGGCCTGCTTTCAGGGTGCTTCTGCTGCTGACTTCCTACTCGTGTTGGCAGCAACATAATATCCTTTCATCTCGTCCCAGACTTATGCGTTTAACATGTGTTTGTGGCACTTTTGAAAAGGCATTTGCAGTCCTGGCATTACTATTGTTCTTAATCCCGCACGTCTCGACTGCTGCAAAACTCTTGTAATTATAATTGGCTACGAAGACACAACGGGTTGGGGAGTGGGTGGGTGTAAGACAAAACAACAAGTGGCCACTCGGCCCGGTTTTGATGATGGCCTAATGCAAATTTAATTGCGGTTTATTTATCCAAACGCCCCGTCCATAATGGAGACTCTCTCGCTCTCTGTGCGTACTTCCCAATGGATTTTTGCGGTAGCTTTGTAAGGCCCTATCATGTTCCCTTGCTACTTGTTTCTGTTTTCCCTAATTTGCCACGCCCCAGCACGCACACACACAGCCACACCCGCCCACATGCTGTGCCAGACTATGCTCATTTGCTCCTGGTTTTCCCATCATCATTGCCACCATGCCGCTCGCCACTTTTCCTTCTGGTGGAAAACTTTCAGCTCATTTCTAGTAATGCCATTGCTGTAGTTGTTGTTGGCTTTAATGAGCTTCCTACTGATTGTGGCAAAAATGCGAAAAGCATGCAGCTTCCGACTCCAAATGGTGCTGGCGAAAGTATCAGTCTCACTTGCCTCACCTGCGGGCACAGAATGTGCCGGCATTATGCTCAGAAATTTCTAACGAAGTAGTGTTTATGAGATGTGGTTTTCCAATTAACAGGTATGTGATATGATAAGAAAATGAACACAAAGCGCAGCACAAAATTCTAAGAAAATGCTATTAAGAATTTAAGACTAAATTTGAAGGAGTCCCAAACGTAGGTATTTCTTTTAATGAAGTAATAAACTTAAACAATAATTAACTAATTAACTATTATAACATTCAATTATAAATTAATGAAATCATATACCACTTAAACTATTCAGAACTTTTAATTGAAATAAATTCATTTGAAATCAACTGATTACAACGAAATAATTAAAAAAATAACACTTGCTAAAGAAAAGTAATCTGCATTTTCAAAAGCTGATAAAAATAAACGACAATCCATAAACATAATCTTGTAAATAAATAAGAATATATACAAACATATAATGGAACATTAACATTTTTCAATCCGAAGTCCATTTCCCGATTAAATTTCATTGCCTAGCCAAAAGAAACTCTCAACGCTTCATTGGACTTTGTGGGACAACTTCTTGGATAACCCTTAGCACTCAATAACAATCATTGGGCCGTGGCCCGCCTATGGGTACGTTTCTCTCCGTTTTGGGCACAACTCGAGTGCAACAGTGCGTATGCGTTATCCGAAAGTTTGAACAACAATTGTTGCCTTGGTAATTTGTGGGCGAAACCGAGTGCTGTCGTCGTGCGGGCAGCAGCTGTTATCACATCCTATAATGCTAATGCGACTTTCATTGCTGGCACTGTGTATTGGCGGCATTATCCCCTTTTTCCTGGTAATCTACTGTCTTCAGTGCTTGGCTCATGCAAAGGCGAAATTCATAGCACGCTTTTGGGAGCTGGCTGACGAGGCTAACGATGGCAATGGCTGTCTTCAGATGCTGTTGCCGATGTTGATGCCAATGCCGATGCTGCTGCTGCTGCTGCTCCTGCTGCTGATGATGATGGTGATGGCTTATGTAACTAGCGCTGCATAAATCCGTGCACACAGACGGAGGAGGCCCAGAGTGAAACACTTGTGTGTATGGCTACTGCTGCTTAGCTATTGAAATGACATTTTTTGTTTCGCCTCCGCCCCCTCTTATGCCCATTCCTTATGTGTGTATTTGGAACAGTTGTGTCTGCAGTCGTGGTAATTCCTTTAAGCGCACTCTTGGCTCGTGGTGCTGGTGGCCCTAACAAGCAGAAGCAGCAGCAGCAAAAGAACTCGGGCCCATGGCATGGACATTTGTCGCTGTCTGGCTGTAGGCGAGGCAGGATGTAGGGGAGGGTCCTTTACACACACACACACACACTCTTACCCGCACTCGCACTCACATGCCCGCACTAACACCGTAAACTCTTATGTTACACTCACTTCTACTTCTATTTCACTTCACCACCACACACGCTCTCTCTTGGACTTGGCTTTGGTTTTGGCTTTGGCTTTTGGCAGCGATTTGGCTTGCGACTCTGCTGGCGGATGCTGCTCTCGTTGCTGTTCATCTCCCGTCGATGGACCATTTTTGACTGGCTTCCAATCGAAGCCATTGGCTGCCTTTCGGCGTCTTCCTCGTTTCGGCCAACAGCGGAGATCTGCTGTAACAGTGGCATGCCTCTCCAGGCTCTGTTGTTGCTGCTTCTTATACAGGGTCCTTGTAGCGCCACAGAGAGAGAGAGAGAGAGAGAGAGAGCGGAATTGGATGTTGAGAGCGGGAATCCTTCTCTTGTTGCATTTTGCAGGCCAAAAGATAACGCACGTGAGTTCCAAAGGATGCCAGATGTTGTCGGAATTGCAGGACAACTGTGAAGATGCGATAGAGGAAATGCCCTAGAATTGGATATTAAAACTAATTAAAATGTATAGGAAAAACAGTGATGAATCTATTTGGCAGAGGCATATATCTTACAGATTTTATTCTTGTATTAAGATTAAAATTGCTTACTAAATGGTTTCAAGCCTAGGGGGAAATATAAAGAATATTATAAATCACGTGAAGAATCCTAAAACCCTTATTTTCCCCATAGTTGGTTTATTAAATGAAATATTTAATGTTTAATTTCATGTGCATATTTAACTGAATATTTAAATATTATTAATATAATATAACTAAATTCAGTCTATAAGCTTAGAATACCCTAGGACCTAGGCTTATTCGCTGCCTTTTATATAATTTCCAATATGATGGCAACGCTTTGACTTGTTTCTCTTATAAAATCTCGTTCAATCAGAGAAAATGCCTGACGCTTTTCCTCTCTTAGCTTTGTGGCCCCATTCACTCTCCCTGCGCAGACTCCTTGATGCGGAAAACAACTTCGAATTTCGAGCAGCAGGACAACAAAGAAACCCACCAGCAAACAGGCACATGCACACATACACCCATATATATAGACCGCCACAAGACCGAAACTCGTTTAGTTGCCGCGTTGACAACTTTGTGGCAGGCAACAAACAAACACTAACACACCCCTCACATACACACGCCTCGCGGTGTGTGTTGACAGGGGGCAACGAGAGGGGAGTGGAGGAGGTGGGATGAATGCAACTGCAATCGGAGAAGGCAAATGCATCTCCTTGGCTGCGACGTTGGCCTGAGCATTGACCTGCTTAGACAGCCACACGATTTATAACTCCCCTCTGCACAACACATTCGAGTAGCAGCATTAAATGGCAAATAAATCTAGAGTTAAACTTCTGACACTGTCTCGGCGTGGAGCCACGAAGGCACTTCCTTCCGCCTTCCCTCCACTTCCGGTTGAAATCTGTCCGTCCTGTCAGCAGGCAACAAAAGGAGTGACACCCACACAGCCACATATTTTAAGGGCACGGAAAGAAATTAATTCCAGAATTTACTTAACTTTAAGATTAACTTTAAGAAATAGTTATTGAGTTTTTATAATTCGTGATTGTATTAATATAATTTGTTAATATAAAATGTACACTTTGCTATTGAAATGAAATGTTTTTGGATCTTTAGAAGACCATATTATAAATAAGTTCCTGACAACAAAAGAAATCTTCACAAAACTTTGAGAAGAGTTCAGCTGTATAACCTGTTTTGTTTCTTATTATGTACATATTTTGAAGATAGTGTAATATAGCTAATCTTTCTTTAAATATTTAATTCCGGTGTACAATTTTATATTATATACGGATAGAATTTATGAGCGCCCAGCACCTCTAAGGGCCCATCTTTCTCCCCGAAATCTTTTACATCTCTGGGAATAAATAATAATAATTCTTTGCGCTTTTTTTGCGCCAGTTCTTGCGTTGTTGTTCGCATTTCTCACATTTCTTTGCCATTCTTATGACAATGTCAACATTTCTTTTGCTTCTCTAATGGCATGACAAAAGCACCGCACACACACCCCGCACACTCAGAGTGCCGCACACACGCACCTATATGTATGTGTTTTCAATCGGTTGTTGTTCTTCCTTGTTGGCTATGCATAGCCATAAATTCTGGTAAAAGCTTCTTCTAGGTTGAAGGCTACGGGCAGTCCGAAAATAAAGCGGATAATTTTTGATCCTGGGACACACGCACACACACACATGCGGACCCACTCGCACACAGACACACAGCGAAAAGGGGGAACCACACACAGTTGCCATTTGTTGTTTTCGCCATTTTTTGTTGTTTGTCATTTAACAGATTTTTCTGTCCTCGCTCGCTATTGATTTCTAATTTTTCCTTCGTAGGCTTAATAAAAAATCTTTGTGCCACATGAATGTGTATATGTACATAGGAGCCTGAGTGTGTGAGCGAGGTTTTTATGATGTGTGCGTGTGTGTCGCATTGATTTCGTAATTTATGAGCGATTTGATGGATTGCGCAAATAATTTTTATGTTTATTTTTGAGTTTTTATTGTTCCACAGCTTGTGGTGTGTGGTTGTGTGTGTGTGTGGCATGTCATTCGGAAGTGTTGTGGTTTCGGAAGAGCTCCACGTGGTTATTTTTGGGGGCTGCCATAATGGCGTACAATTCGTTTGGATGAAATATGGTGCCAAAGGTGGGCGGGTGCGGAAAGTGGTGCCTACATTTTGGGGCAGCAGCAAACAGTTAAATAATTTACTCTCATTTAAATAAATGTATTATGCCAGGTTCATACATCATCGACCATAAATGTACACTTCAATTAGCAATCCATTAGGAATAATAAACATTTTATGTCCCACAGGCAAACAGAATTTGTAAAAACGTATCTCCCCATTGGTTTATTCGGTTTAATTGTAATTTAAATTAAGTACACGTCACTGCTCACTTTAAACTTGTTTAATAATTAATGGTGAAATGATGTCAGGCAGCGGTTAGCTAATTAAGTCAAACGCATTCGCGTAATTAAATTTGCAGTGTTGGAGTCCATAAAAGTAAATCTAGCAAAATGACGGGGCCAAATATCAGGGCAGGAAAACACCATGCGGGAAACTTGGTTACCACAGCCCAGTTCAGTTCAATTAAACGTTAAATCAATATTGGTAAATCCCATAACAGGCCATAACAGACGCACGTTCTCATATTAATTGGTGTTCGTGAGTCGCCTGCATTTAAATAATCCACCAAATGGCCCCGAGTGTGAGTTCCGTAAACTGGTTGCAAGAGATCCTGTCCACACAGCACATTTACATAGTTGCAGTTGTGCCCCCAGTAATGGTAATCGTATTGGTCGGTGCTTTGTGAGCTTGGACACGTTGACTACATTTTAATGCTGGTGAAAAACTCATTTCGAATGAACTTGAATGGAAGTTGGCCAACAGTCGATGTGTGTTTCCTATTTTCTGTTACAATGTATTGCAGTCCTGTCGCCATATAGGACGTACTCAACTGTGTGTGTTCCAGGTGGCCGCATCTGCCTCGGGGTTACAAGGAGGACAGAGAAATTCACATTAAATTGTGCCTGATAAGCACTTTTTCAATTAAAATGAAACAATACTTGATAGAATATATAAAATAAAGAGTGGAATTCAAAATAAAATCACAGAAAGTCCTAGTTTTCCAAATAATTATATATATACTTAATCTTTCTACTACGGAATATTTAGTATCAAGTTTATGGGAACATTTTAAAAGGATTTCGCTACTAGGTTATTCACCCGAACAACGCTTGACATTAATTAAATTCAACATTAATTCAATTTGCATTGATCTCACTCATCATTTAAATTGATTGCTTTGGGATCTATATAAAAACATTTATTTAAAACGAAAGACTTTTCCAAGAATCTATACCATTCACATTCAACAGCATGAAATGTAACTAAGCTAGGCATCTCATCTAGCCTCGTTTCCTGAGGATCCTGTCCCTTCGAGCCTTGGTACACTTGAACCGAGAGGGAAAAATGAACAAAGACCAACTATCCATCAGAACGGGCACACACACACATTTCCATGCAAATGGGTATATATGTTTTTTTTCTCCCTACTTTCTTTTTTGTGGGTCAGTGATTGGGGGAGGCTCTGCCACAGGCGGTCGTTGGGTGCAAATGCCCTTTCCGGGCACCATGGCGGCACTTAAGGCCAACAAATACAAACAGGCATAATAAAATAATCGATGCTTTTAAAATTTGCATAAGTTTGGATACCGCAGATGCTACACAAGAGGAGCCAGAGGAGCGTATTTCCATATCCCATCGCCACATTGCGCATACGCCGCGTGGACAGGACGGGGCCCTAGACCCAAAGACGGTGGCAATGGCGGTTGGCAAGTTCGTGGGCGTTCGATTTAATTGTGGGAATTCGGCGTCTGCCACGCACCCATCTTGTGGCTGGACGTGGCTGAAAAGTTGAATTTTTAAGCAATGCGAGGCGGGTAAATAGCCCAAGCCTGTATATTCCATATATTTTCATTAACATGTGTGTGGGTTGGAGTGAAAGTTTCACGGACTCGGATTGAACATGGCCTTGCCGGAGCCGTGGGAATTCTGCCCTCAAAGTACACGTCCTTATGTACAATCCATTCGAGCAAAGAAGGAAGCACTTGTCGACCGGGGCTTGTTAACCTTCCAGATTTCACATTTCATTAACGTCGACACCGCCCTGCTGGCAGGTTAACTTCGGTCGCCACTTTAAAACCTCATAATATCTGAAATAGTTTTGGCCTGGTCCTAGCGAGTGAAATGTTTGCCTAAGAGTGCATTAAGTTGCACTCAGTTTCAATACATTAATTGAAGAAATAATCTATTTGAATTTCTAAAGGACCAACAGCAAGGTAAAAAGAAGATGTTGTTTAAGATACAAGCTTAACTGAACTATTCTAGATTGCTTAATCAAATATTTAAACAAGGAAATATTGGTTTTTGATTTAAGTTTTCAAATAGTATTAACAACTTAAAGCTTTGATTGTGCATCTTACAATTTTCCGAAAAGAGGACTATTTAATGTTGGCCTCAAGCAAAATCTCATTAACGAAACAAGCAATTATCACAGAACATTTTACGCATACGTATGAATAAAACATGGGAAAATCGATTAATTGATGACAGCATTTCATCTTTGAGTGACACAAACATACACACATACGGTTTAACACATAAGATTTCAGCTGCTAATTAAATTGGCGAAAACCCAATTATATTTGCCAAGCCATTTACCGTCTTTCCACAGCATGACAACTTCGATGCAGCCCAGCAAATATACGGGCCTGGTGGCCGATCTGATGCCGAATATACGGGCTATGAAGTACTCCGGGCTATTTATGCACAACTTCACCGGTGGCAGTGCCTTTGTGAAGAAGGTGTACTCCTCGGTGCATCTGGTGCTGCTCCTGCTGCAGTTCGCCTTCATCCTGGTCAACATGGCCCTGAATGCCGAGGAGGTCAACGAGTTGTCGGGCAATACGATTACCACCTTGTTCTTTACCCATTGCATCACCAAATTTATTTACTTGGCCATCAATCAAAAGAATTTTTACAGGTGAGTGGTGGTGGGGAATGTATACCAAATTTAATTACCAAAATGCACAATTTGGAACCCTAATCAAAGTCATATCCTACTTCCTGGAATCTAGAATAGCTAATAATAATACCTAAATAATAATGTTTTTTATTTAGAACCCTGAATATCTGGAACCAGGTGAACACGCATCCCTTGTTTGCCGAATCAGATGCTCGTTACCATTCGATTGCTTTGGCCAAAATGCGGAAGCTCTTCTTCCTGGTGATGCTGACCACTGTCCTCTCGGCCACCGCCTGGATTACGATCACCTTCTTTGGGGATAGCGTTAAAATGGTGGTGGACCATGATACGAATTCCAGCATTCCGGTTGAGATACCGCGATTGCCGATCAAGTCATTCTATCCGTGGAATGCCAGCCATGGCATGTTCTACATGATCAGCTTCGCTTTTCAGATCTACTACGTCCTCTTCTCGATGGTCCACTCTAATCTCTGCGATGTGATGTTCTGCTCCTGGCTGATCTTTGCCTGCGAGCAACTGCAGCATCTGAAGGGCATCATGAAGCCTTTGATGGAGTTATCAGCTTCGCTGGACACGTACAGACCCAATTCGGCGGCTCTCTTTAGATCCTTATCGGCCAACTCGAAATCGGAGCTAATACGGAATGAAGGTTAGTTTTGGAGATAGAACAATCTATAAGAAGTAAAATAATCTTTAAATAAGTAAAGTAATATTTTGTTTTGTTTTGATGTATTTGATTTATTATTATTATTATTATTATATAGAGTTTAGTTTATTTTTGTTTTACTTTTCTAACCTTCCTTCATGCAGATTTGTTCCATGACGATATCTCTATACATTTTAATTGCAGAAAAGGATCCCGGTGCCGATATGGACATGTCGGGTATCTACAACACAAAATCGGATTGGGGCGCTCAATTTCGAGCACCCTCAACGCTGCAGAACTTTGGCGGAAATGGAGGCGGTGGCAATGGCGTCGGTGTAAACGGGGCTAATCCCAATGGGCTGACCAAAAAACAGGAGATGATGGTGCGCAGCGCCATCAAGTACTGGGTGGAGCGGCACAAGCACGTGGTGCGGTGAGTCCGGCACTTGGTCAAAATTTAAATCGAAATTGTAAGAGGGCTCTGGTCAGTGCAAGAGGACGAGTGATTGCATCTGCGGGATTTTAATAGGATGTGCGGTGTGGCTCATACCTGGCCGCAAAAGTCCTTGTCCTGAAATCTAATTGCAACCAGTTGAAAGTGCCACTTGAATCTATTTAAGCGAATTTCTATTTACCCTTACCAGTTTAAAGCAGTATTTTTGTAAATTGAAAGGTTTCACAAATAGTTATTGGATGAAAATAGTTTGGAATATGCCTAGATTTTTTTAAACTTTATCAGGAATCAGTATTTAGGGAAAATCTTTACAGTTATTCATATTTATTTGCTATTGCGAAAATAATCTAACAGTGTTAGCCTTAAAAACTTATATGGTTTTTCATCGGTTTGTGTATCTTTCACAATTGACAAAGGCAATATTTAGGGCATTTATTTGGTGCTCGGTACTTGCCGTCAGCTTGTTTGATTTTCTTGATTATTTCCCCAATTGCTATCGTTGTTTGAGGGGGGATACTGGAGGAGTGATTGCATGACCAGGGCCCCTGGAGTGCTTCCTTGTTTGTCCTGTTGTCCTGGCAGTTGGCTAGCTTAGTTGCTTGTATATGTGTGCAATTGTTGATCAATCTATTGACTCGAGTATTTGTTTTTCACTCCCCATTTCCCTGCAGCCTGGTGGCGGCCATTGGCGATACCTACGGAGCCGCGCTCCTGCTGCACATGTTGACCTCCACCATCAAGCTGACCCTGCTAGCCTACCAGGCCACCAAGATTGGAGGAGTGAACGTCTACGCCTTTACGGTTGTCGGATACCTGGGCTATGCCCTGGCCCAGGTGTTCCACTTTTGCATCTTCGGCAATCGCCTGATTGAGGAGGTGAGTCGTCTAGCAGTTGGTCTTAGGAACCACTCAACTAATGTATCCTGCCCTTCCAGAGCTCATCTGTCATGGAGGCTGCCTACTCGTGCCATTGGTACGATGGCTCCGAGGAGGCCAAGACCTTCGTCCAGATCGTGTGCCAGCAGTGCCAGAAGGCCATGAGCATATCGGGTGCCAAGTTTTTCACCGTCTCCCTGGATTTGTTTGCCTCGGTGCGTTGAATTCGATTTTTGTGCAATGTGATGTGAGAATAAATCCAATTGTCCATCTTCTCTTGCCCTTCGCAGGTCCTTGGTGCGGTTGTCACCTACTTCATGGTGCTGGTGCAGCTCAAGTGAACCGTCGGCGGAGTTGACGAATCGTGTGTGCCAGGAAAGCGAATGCCAAGGAGCCACAGTGCTAAACAGAACCCCAAAGACCCCCGTCACAGTGCCCAGCCCAGTCCCTTTCCCTCTGCAAGCAGCAATATTATAGAGCAATTATAACGCAAATTATAAATTTTATACCATCGCTGAGCGAACCGTGGCCCATCATGGATACACACATGCTGTGGCAAATAGAAGCCTGCAAATATATATCGATTTTGTACACATGTAGAGCTTTCAATGTAAACTCAACAAGCAAATCAAATAAATGTGTAGTGCAAATGCAACAATTTCAGAGTGAATTGCAAAGGTGATTTGGTTAAAGGGCTTCATAAATGTAATATAACTTTAATGGTGAACTATCTGAAAGGTTTTTTTACATCATTCCTAACACTATAAATTTAGAAAGAACTTTGTTAACAGTATATAAAGTAAAGCCGGTTAATTTTATTAATATTTTAAATGTTCTTCCTATTATAATACTATTATCAGTTCATAATTAGAAGAACAACAAATTTGTGGGCCTTTTCATTGAGATTTTGTATGACAAGTATATACATATTATAGAGTTCGAAACCCAGTATGCATGGTATGTTCTGAAAATCACCGAACTTTTCAGATAAAGTCCAAAAAGTGCTAGTTATATTACATATGTTATCTAAGTTAATAGTTATTAAAAGTATTAACTTTAAAGTAAAGTATCTGGTGAGTCTTTAATAAAATAGTTTTGGGTGATTTATTCATTAAGCCTAATTTGATAATTACCAAGGCCTGCTCACATGACAAGTGTGGAATTCAATGGCGCAGACGTGGGATCCCACGCATCACTGGGTGCATGCCAACAGTTTTTCTCGGCAGATGCGCGAATTTAATTAAATGAGTTTTAAAATTATAAAAACCAATCTTTCGTTTTTAGCGATATTAGTTTTGCTCTAATGGGGCTGCTTCTTTTTTGTGTTTTTTATTTTTTTGGCAACTCTTGGCCAAAAGAGCTGGCGCAACCAGTAGAAACAGTAAACAATCATCAACAATTGCAGGCAACAATTAAGCGAAATGTGGCAAAAGTGTAATTCCGAGTCACACATAGACATTTGTGTGTGAATCTCCACACACTCCTATATTTCTTGGCGTTTTGAAAGCGCACTTTATGGATTTCCAAATTGCCCAACTGGGCAACTGGCTGACTCCGCTCCGAGTTTAAACTGAGGCGGCAACAACAACACGAAAACGCTACACAACGCGAACTTTTAATGCGGCCACGCTCCGTACATTCGGCCAAAGTTTTTATTTCTTGCAGCTTTCATAAAACAAAACAAAATAAACACAAAAAAAAAAGCGAAATGCGAACAAAAAGTGACTATAACTATGACTGCGCCAAGCCAAGAGTGTGGAGCCGCCAGGTGAGGCAAGATGAGGTGGAGCGTAGAAGTATCTACCCATCTCCGTGCCCCAACTGCTTCTTACTGTTAATTTCTTTATTGCGCAGACTTTCGTCTGCCAATGAAAGTTTCTTGACTTTGGGAATGCAACAATAACAGCAGCAGAAACTACTTAATTTATAAGTCTATGGTTTAATTAGTTTTCTTTCTTACATGTTTTGTTGTTGCCTCGCCCAAGCAGCAGGGCAGCCGACATCTTCCTGTTCTCGTCTGCAGTTTTAATTATTTATGCGAATGTTTCAGCCCCATTAGTCAATCGCCAGTGCGATTTCTTTTCGAGTTGTCCGAATAGAGTCATTAACATATCATATATACCAACATTTTTAACACGCGACTCGGTTAATGTCATTTTTATAGAGCCTTAAGTAGTACCTAACCTGTAACTGTTTGCTTCACATAATTCTACGGTTTGTATAGCGATTTTCATTGGTGACTGCAGTGAGTAATGGAGAAATTGAAGTTGCCTGTATTCACGAGATAAAAGTTCAAATATGTGGCTTATTATATATTCCATAGGTAATGGTGATATAAGTGTCAGAAGAATAAAAAAGTAATTAATCACTTTTGCCTAAACGGGTTAACTTTGAGAAGCCAAAGTGTGTATACAGCTGTAGTTAGCCATAGGATCATAGGATCATAACTAACCCAAATATTCATTATTCTCAATATAAAAAAAATTTTCTGTGTTAGGAATACTACAAAAACTCTTTAAAAAAATAAAACATTTCTAAGCATTTTTGACAATTTTAATGGCGTTGTCCCTTATGCAACTTTCAAAAATTCAGTTCAACATTTTGTCGACTTGTTTTTTTCAAATATTTTATTCTTTATTAATATAAAATTAGTAATTGCAAATATAAATATATCTATCTTTTTATATTCATTGGCTTTTTGGCCTTTTAATACCTCCAAGGAAACTTAAAATATTTGAATTCTAGATATTTTAAGTCGATATTTTAATATGCTAATTTCTTAAATAAATCATAGTTTTTCAAATGTCATAACTAAGCCAAAAATGGATTAATTTCAAATCGGAAAGCATTTCTGTGCTAGTTTGTATAGTACTAACAAATCCGCATTTAAAGTTTTTACATTTTAAAAATTAAATTTTTTACAAATTTTGACAATTTTAATGATGCAATGATGCAAATTTGAAAAATTTTCAAAAATGGATTTTTTTATCGGACATGGTTAGATCGATTCGGGAGTTCAACCTGATCAAGAATATATATGGTTTATAGGATCGGAAATGAGTCCTTCACCGCTTTCAGAGCTTCTGACTGAAATTATAATACCCTGCAGGGGTATACAAATTTATAAACATTATTAAGTTAATATTTGTATTCAAATTGAGTAAATATATTTATTTTACGTACATATATAAGGCTCTTGTTCACATCAGTATATGAGTTTTCTTTATTATAATTTAAAAAAAAAAAAAAAACAATCTTTATGCTTTTAAAATTACTTTAGAATCAGACTTAATCAGTGGTTCTTAGCTTACTTTTTCATTGTAAAAAATAACTTATTTTCTCTATTTTTTTAACAATGTATAAGGTTAACTTTTTGGGAAAACCTTTAAAAGAAATAATTAGACATAGACATCATCTGTTTCCAGGGGCATGCGGAACCGCAAGTTCCCCTCCTCTACTATTGAATACTTAGATATATTTGCTTAGTTTTCCCAATCGCATCGGTCCGCTTTGGTAGGCTGGTAACAGTTTTCTTATATTTTTGCATTCGCTCGACTTTTATTGCCACATTGGCCGCGTCTCGCATTGTTTGGTTTAGAAAAAAGGGCAGACCAAGTTCAATGCATGCAAAGTCAAAGTCGGAGCCCTCCCTACTCCAGTTAGCCCCTCCCCCCTCATCGGGCGATGATAATTGCTGGCAATCAGCTAGCTGGAACAATAAAAAACCGAAAAAGAAAAAGAGAGGAAAATGGCAAGAGGAAAATAAAAGCCACACGAGCAAAACGCAATGCAAGCCAAAGCAAGACAAAGTTATGGAAAATGTACATTTTCATTTAAATGAAAATGAGGAAATGGCCGACAAGTTCAACGACTCGCTTAGCTGCTTAGCAGGAGAGCTGCAAGCTCTGGCGATACCAACGCCAATCCCATGTGCACTAAATTGCTTAATTGTGAAATGTCGAAAAAGTATAAAGAAACAATTATGACAGAGATCATTTCAGCAAAGGCAGCAGCGGCTAGATAATGCAATCGCCACAAACACGGCCGTTCGAAAGTTAATCACTAACTAACTTTCGGCACGCACTTCGGCTGAGTGTGACCGTAGCAGCTCTTTCACTCTGAGATCCCACAGAACAAAGGACTGTGGAAACGAACTTTTATTTGCAAATTTTCGGGGAGGCAAATCAAAAGACTGAGGACACGAACGTGGTGCTAGAGCTACAGGTGGCTGTCAGGAGTATTGTCTGGCGAGATGATGGACAAGTATCGCGGCTGGATGATCGGCAGTGAAGCGTGGTTAGTCTGCGCCGCTCATTGAACTTCTCTTGCGCAAATGGCCAGCCGCCGGATCCCTCCTCCTCCTCCATCTCCTCCGAGGAGCCAGCGCGTGCATTTTTCTCTTTGACCGATTTTCATGGCATGATCTGTTTTACGGCTTTCGGTTTTCTTTCGCCGTTGCTTTTGTTGTTGCCGCAATCGTGCGACCCGAAGTAGAGTCGGCTTCAGTCGTAACTCTTCGGCTTTCGTTCGGCAGTATTTAAGTGATGCGAAACGTGTTTGTAGACATTCAGTTTCTGTTATCGTCTTGAGCGCTTCGGTTGTGTGCTATTCATCATACGCCGCGTTGTCCGCTGGATATAACACCCAAAAGGATTACCTCTGACCAACTAACCAACTCTCATTCTAACCAAGGTGAGCCATCCTCCTCCTCCAAGATATACATATGCATATATCGCGGTCCGATCTTTGAGCTGTCCATTCCTCGGGCAGCGTAGGACAATGAGCGGAATTTAAATGAGTGTGCATCGAATATTATACGCGATAAAGTGTGCAAATCATGTGCTGAATTTGAGAAACACAAAAGAAGTTGAGGACATTGGCGGGACCATGCCACGCACAGCAATAAATTCGACAAGGGAACAACAAGTTGAAAGGAAACTGTGCGAATAACTCAATTCGAGTGGCAGCGAGTAATAAGGAAGGCGATTTATGTGGTTCAACAATGGTCATTGAAGTCATTGAAATCGTTTAAGAATGCTTCAATTGCACCCAAAGCACAGGGTTCAATGAATCGTAACAAGAATTTATACATTTGAATTTATATTAATAGGAAAATAACTTATTTATGGATTTATAGAATATGAAATGGTCTTAGGAATTCAATTATCTTCTGTAGGCCCAAAGGTCTTTTATCATCACAAAGTGCTGCGTAGACCTTACTGCCAAATTGCTCATTAAAGTCGCTTATTTAGCCTCTAACTTATACAATTCATAAGCTCTATTAAGACCAAAAGAGCATTTAGCTTGACAAATTTAGGGCTTAAACCCTTCTCATTTCTCGGGGAAGGTATCTTATTGGCTGACCACTTCCCAAACCACTTAACCCGGCCACAGTGTTGTCGAAATTCTTACACATAATGTCATTACAAAACAAATAAGCCAACAGAATTATAGTTAGAGTAACCACTCGGGATAGGGACAGATATACATGGAAGCAAAAGACAAAAAGATTGAAAGAGACGGAAACCGAAAGCAATTTACCTGGACCCGAAATGCCAAACAAAAAAAATCAGAAAAATAAGTTAATAAAACCCGTTTTCCGCCCATTTTTCTTGACTCTTGTCCGCCTGATTTTCTGTTTTACGTTTTACGTTTCGTTGTGTTTTTCCCGCTGTTTTGTTTTGCTGAAGATTTTCGCAATATTTGCAATTGACTTGGCTGCCATAAGGAAAATTTGTAATAGACGCAACCAGACGGTCATTAGTGGACCAACAAAAACCCATGCGAGTGTGTGCACACAGAGCAATTTGAGTGTGGCCGAGCCTCCTTCGGTCCGCCGGTGGTAATTGCAATTCTAACAGGTTGCAAGTTGCAACTTACCACTTGCAACAGCAACACTGGTTGCATTGTAGACGGTTGTGGCTATGTGTTACACAGAAGAAATAATATCACTTCTTATTTTATGTAACGCTTTGGACTAGGAAATACAATTCTTCATCAAAGTTATTTAAATGTAATCAGATCAAGTCCAAAATCTATAATTTTAGAAGGTTAAGCATCATAATTAAATTGTAAAATTGTATATATAGTATGAATTTAAAAAAACATAAACCTTTTTCTTCCGTGCAGCATATATGTATGTTATATTTTTGCAATTCCACGTTGCTCTCCTCAAATTCCCTCACAGACCGCGGCTCATTTCGAGAGCTTTTCCTCTTACCAACTCTGGCTGGCTGACTGACCCCAATGAGCTCTGCGTCTCAGGTGTTGCAAATTTGATTAAATATGGCCCATTTGATGCAGTTTATTTTTCTCTGTCTGCGCTGTGGAATTGCCAAACCAAATGCTGACTAAACTATCGGTCAAAGTTTACCACAAATTATCAGATCTTCCATTATCTGCCAGCCCCCCATTTGAATTGTCAATTACCTTATGCCGGAGTAAAAGACAATTTATGCATCATTTAAAAAGAAGTGTCAAAGTCAAAAGCAAACAAAAATAAAAGTTATAAACAAGCAGAGCCAAAAGTACGGAGCAAAGAGCGCAAACAACGCGGCTGAGCGTTTAAGCCAAGATATACTATATACTGTATTTAGTACCCGGCTTGGCTATCTTTAAGTCGCTTTTCTTCATTTGCACGAGCTCACATTATAATTATATATAATACAAATCTATATATTGTTACCTATAAGGTCTTACAACGAAATTTACTGAACCAAATCGAAACCAAAAGACAGAAGGGCCCTGAACACTGTTTTTGGGGTCGATTTTACTTTGGCCCTTACGCAAAGTCCGCCAGCTCCAAGTACACCTGTTCCGGGAGGGGGAAGTACTTGGAGTAATGCATATTTGGCCACAACCCATGCTAATGAAACGAGGCAGTGACGTGTGACCGCAAGACCTCCGAGCGACGAGCGACGAGCATTTTGAAAGCGCGCAATTAAAATGTCAAAAATATCTGATTATTTTGTATTACGTATTAAAAAAGTGTGGCGAAATAGCCGCCGAAGAATAGAGGGGTCGTCATTTTATTGTTTTTATTTTGAGATCCCCATTTATCTCAAGGCTTTAGGCTAATTTTAATAGTAAGGTCGAACTTAGTGCGCAGGGAATAATTATATATTTACTTATAATAGATTCTAAATGAAATGTTTTAAGTTCTGGGAGTTTTTCTTTGAAGAATTTCATAATAAATCTCTTCTGTTTAATTAAGGCTCTAGCATAATTACCTTAAATGTTGTTTTAAGTAATGTATTATATTATTTGAATTTTTAGTCAGTAATAATTATTTCTTTCCATCTCCCAAGATGATGATGCTACACCCCACACCCGATCAGCGCGTGAGCATCCGCGAGGAGCTCCGTGAGCCCGAGGATCCTGCAGACATTGAGCGCGACATTAAGCTGATCCGCGAGTGGCTGGAGACGCAACCCCATCTGCCCAAGGACATGGACGATATGCGCCTAACGACCTTCTTGCGCGGCTGCAAGTTCAGCCTGGAGAAGGTCAAGAAGAAGCTGGACATGTACTACACCATGCGCAATGCCGTTCCGGAGTTCTTCTCCAACCGGGATATTAATCGCGAAGAGCTCAACATCGTACTGGATTATGTGTGAGTAAATCATTAATTTAAAATGATTTTTTATAGTATACTTAATTTTTCTATTTTTACAGGCACTGCCCCACTCTGCCGGGCATTACTCCCAATGGTCGCCGCATCACATTCATTCGTGGCATCGACTGTGACTTCCAGCCGCACCACATCCTGGACGCCATGAAGGTGGCCCTGATGATCGGTGACGTTCGCCTGGCTGAGGAGAGCGTGGGCATTGCCGGAGACATCTTCATTCTGGACGCAGCGGTGGCCAGTGCCTCCCATTTTGCCAAATTCTCGCCAACAGTGGTGAAGAAATTTCTGATTGCCGTACAGGAGGCGTATCCCGTGAAGGTGAAGGAGGTGCATGTGATCAATATCTCACCGCTGGTGGATACCATCTTCAACTTTGTGAAGCCATTCGTTAAGGAGAAGATCCGCAGCCGCATCTCCTTCCACAACGACGTGGAGAGCCTCTACAAGGTGGTGCCGCGTGACCTTCTGCCCAACGAGTACGGTGGCAAGGCCGGCAACATTGTGGAGCTGAACCAATGGTGGAAGCAGAAGTTGGCCGACAACACCAAGTGGTTCAAGGAGCAGGAGGACAAGAAGGCCAACGAGTCCCTGCGCCCCGGCGGTGTGAAGACCTGCGATGATCTGTTCGGCATGGAGGGAACCTTCCGTCAGCTGAACATCGACTAGGAACGGATCAGTATTCCGTATCTCATGTCCCCCACATCCCGGCTTGTCTAACCGTGTATAATAGCCGCTCATTTTTGATAAGTCCAAGCTCATGTGCATGACTCTTGCTTAATTGCTTCATTCTTTCGCCAGAATCCATTGTTAATCTCTATATGCCTCATCAGTACATTTCAGTAATTACAATAATAAAGAAACAGCAGCATATTAAGGAATGAATAAATCAATAAATTCATTGTTTTACTAAAGTAACTTAATAAGGATTCAAAAATATGCTCAATATACTGACCCCCCTTCTCTTCTATTATTATTGTAAAACCAATTCCCTTTCCTCCCTCACTTTTGTTAAAAAAACTACGAAACTGTAGAAAATTAAGGAATAAATTAATCAGACGAAAATGTCCAACAAGCAACATGGAGTGGGCGTGGATTGAACGCCAGAGACTGAAAGCATTCCTCCACGAACGCCCCATTAAAATAATGACCAGGGTGCTGGACTGATGCACTGACTGGGCGATGCTTGATTGCATCTGCCACAAAGCCCCACATACATATACTATATGGGAACACCATATATAGTACTGCACACCCACCACCACCCACAACGGCTTGAACACATTTCACTCGTCGCATGTCGCCACTTTGTGCAACATGCACATCCACGGAGGAAACGGAAACTTGTCGCATTTCGAGCATGGGGGAGTCCTTCACGGCAGGCAGGACGAAGCCCTCCCAGACTGACTTATTCCTCCGACATATTGGTTCCGTTCGCATTGTTGTGTGCGCATTTCGGCGTACGAAATCAAGTGCTGGCAACATATCGCAGTCACGACTCTTCGGACATGGTCAACTGGCTTTCAATGTAAAGCGCTTTTTCCGCTCTCGGTTGCAGGGTTTATTCGGAATTGATGGCCCTGCTTGCTGAGGGATTGTAAGGAATTCCTCTGAATGGCTGGACGGTCAAGTGGCGTTATGATTGGTATGGCCCAGTTGCCAAACTTCTTAGAGCCAGCATTGCCTTGTTGTTGTTGTGCTGTTTACCAACAGCAAAGTAAAAGTCTTGTTGCCAAAGTGAACGAAATAATCAGGTTAACATACTTGTGTTGAAATTGTAACGTTACTAAGTAGTAGTAGTAAGCTAAAAACAGGGCCAAAAACAATAGCTTGGCCTTGGTAAGGGGACTTTGTATAACATAATTACTGTATTATATTTTTAATGTTACCTTGATACTTAGGGTTCTTCTCATTTCATACCCTTACAGGGTATTATAATTTCAGTCAGAAGCATGAAATGCAGTGAAGGAGTCATTTCCGACCCTATAATTCATATATATTCTTGATCAGCATCAACTGGCGAGTCAATTTAGACGTGTCCAAAAGAACACAAATTTTCCTAATTTTTTGAAAATTTTATAAGGGGATACATCGTTAAAATTTTGAAAAAATTTATAAAAATTTGAATTTTTTAACTTATTATATATTATAGTAAATTGAGTATGAATATTTATTAAGCCACTAAAAACTAACACAAGAAAGCTTTCCGATTGGAAATTAATGAATATTTTACTGAGTTATTTTCAGAGCAAGGGAATAGAAATTACTATTTCCCGAAGTTACCGCCATTCTTGTTTTTAAACTTAAATATATTATTATGTTATAATATATAAAATAATATATTAAATATAATAATATTATTATTAAATATTAATGATTGCATTAACATTTGCTAGGAGTATACAAACTTCGGGGTGCCGCCTTCTCCCTACCTCTATCTATCTGTCTCTCTCTCCCTGCCTCACTCTCTCTCACTCTCACTCTCAATTTCACTTTCTCTGTTCTCTGTTCTCGAGGACTATAAATAAAGGCACAACCGTCGCTCTGATCTCAGTCTATCCGCGGCCTGCCTAGTGATAACATCTAGTAATAGTGGTAGTGATCGATCCCAAAAAATATCATCTGATCAATGCAATATTGATTATTGTTATTAAACATAAATGTATGATTGTATTATAATATATAATATAATATATTTAATATAATAATATTATTATTAAATATTAGTGATCGCATTGAAATTTGCTAGGAGTATACAAACTTCGGGGTGCCGCCCTTTCCCTACCTCTATCTATCTGTCTCTCTCTCCCTGCCTCACTCTCTCTCACTCTCAATTTCACTTTCTCTGTTCTCTGTTCTCGAGGACTATAAATAGAGGCACAACCGTCGCTCTGATCTCAGTCTGTCCGGGGCCTCCCTAGTGATAACATCTAGTGATAGTGGTAGTGATCGATCCCAAAAAATATCATCTGATCAATGCAATATTGATTATTGTTATTAAACATAAATGTATGATTGTATTATAATATATAATATAATATATTTAATATAATAATATTATTATTAAATATTAGTGATCGCATTGAAATTTGCTAGGAGTATACAAACTTCGGGGTGCCGCCCTTTCCCTACCTCTATCTATCTGTCTCTCTCTCCCTGCCTCACTCTCTCTCACTCTCTCTCTCAATGTCACTTTCTCTGTTCTCTGTTCTCTTTACTCGAGGACTATAAATAGAGGCACAATCGTCGCTCTGATCTCAGTCTGTCCGCGGCCTCCCTAGTGATAACATCTAGTGATAGTGGTAGTGATCGATCCCAAAAATATCATCTGATCAATGCAATATTGATTATTGTTATTAAACATAAATGTATGATTGTATTATAATATATAATATAATATATTTAATATAATAATATTATTATTAAATATTAGTGATCGGATTGAAATTTGCTAGGAGTATACAAACTTCGTGGTGCCGCCCTTTCCCTACCTCTATCTATCTGTCTCTCTCTCCCTGCCTCACTCCCTCTCACTCTCTCTCTCAATGTCACTTTCTCTGTTCTCTGTTCTCTTTACTCGAGGACTATAAATAGAGGCACAATCGTCGCTCTGATCTCAGTCTGTCCGCGGCCTCCCTAGTGATAACATCTAGTGATAGTGGTAGTGATCGATCCCAAAAAATATCATCTGATCAATGGAATACATCTGGATAACCAGGAAGGCGCTTACTTCGATGATACAATTAAAGCCTTATATGTATGAGTCTCCAAGAATATAACTGTACAGTAATAAGTATTAATTTTTATTGTTGTTGTATTCTTTTTTAACATAAATATATATAATTTATATTTTATTAATTATTAACCGCATTGCCATTCGCAAGGGCATACAAACTTTGAAGTACCGATTTCACCTTTCTTTCTGGTTTGGACTTAGAATTTCCTCTAAAATAGTTATCATCCGCGACCTAAATAAAATAAAAAAATAAAAATAAATAAGACAATATTTTATTAATTATATGAGAAAAAATAAATAAGTATATGTTTCCAGATCCTAGCCAAGGCTCCCGTTAATTGAGTTATTTATTAGAAAGTTTTACAAACTTTTCAAAGAAAAAATACGAATCATTCCGCTTATTATTTATTAATATAATATATGTATATTCAGACAAATTAGGGAAAAGTTTGTCAAAGAATGCTGCCAGTAGCATATAATTTAAAGTTTATTTACTTGTGACCAAATCTATATTTTATTTAAATGCCCGACAATGAAAAGTATTTTTTTATAAAAGGGGTAAAGCCAAAAGGGTTTGATTCAAACATTTTTTTGAGTTACGATGAACGATAGTAATACGGAAAATAAGTCTAAAGACGACTCTAAGCGTCGGGATTTGTTTGTGTTTGTCCGTCAGACAATGTGCATAGCCGCAATGTATCCCTTCAGCTATTACTTCAAAGGCTCTGGCTTTGTAGCTTTTGTGATCCGTTTCCTGGATGTACTCTACGAACTCTTCAACTACTTTGTCTCGGTGCATATAGCAGGATTGTTTATCTGCACCATCTACATAAACTATGGACAGGGGGACTTGGACTTCTTTGTAAACTGTCTGATACAAACGATCATATATTTGTGGACCATTACCATGAAGCTGTATTTCCGAAGACTCAGACCAAGGTTGTTGGACGACATCTTGACTACGATTAATGATAAGTATGAGCCGCGTTCCGCTGTCGGATTCAGCTATGTGACCATGGCGGAGGCCTATCGGATATCCAAGATGTGGATCAAGACGTATGTGTACTGCTGCTATATAGGTACCATCTTCTGGCTGGCTCTACCCATAGTTTACAGGGACAAAAGCCTACCGCTGGCATGTTGGTATCCCTTTGATTACACGGTGAGTTTAGAATATATATTATAATTTTTATAAAACTTCCAGAGAGAACTAACGAACTAAATTTTGTAGCAACCCATCGTTTATGAGGTTGTATTCTTCCTGCAGGCAATGGGTCAGATCCAGGTGGCGGCTTCTTTTGCCTCCTCGAGTGGCCTTCACATGGTTCTGTGTGTCCTAATATCGGGGCAATACGACGTTCTTTTCTGCAGCCTCAAGAATGTATTGGCCACTACTTACGTATTAATGGGAGCTAATATGGCCGATTTGAGGTATGTGCTATAGAGTAAACATTTTAAAAATTATAAAAATATAGTCAAAATAGGTTTTATTAAGGTTTTAATTTTGTATTTTTTATTTTAAATATTATCTTAAATTGATATTCCATTATCAGATCTTTACAGGCTGAGCAATGTGTGTCCGATGCGGAGCCCAGTCAATATGCTTACTCCTTGGAAGAACAGACACCTCTGCAGGAGCTTCTTCAGCATGCAACTCAAGCAAAATCCTCTGGAGATTTTCGATGGGCCTTCCGGCATTCCTTCGTGCGCTGCGTTAACCACCATCGTTATATAGTGTCGACCCTGAAACAAATGGAGCGCTTTTACAGTCCAATTTGGTTTGTAAAGATCGGAGAGGTCACCTTCCTCATGTGTCTCGTGGCTTTCGTGTCGACGAAGAGCACCTCGGCCAATTCCTTCATGAGGATGGTGTCTTTGGGCCAGTATTTGCTCCTCGTGCTGTATGAACTCTTTATTATTTGCTATTTCGCCGACATTGTGTATCAGAACAGTCAGCGATGTGGTGAGGCCCTGTGGCGAAGTCCCTGGCAACGGCATATAAAGGAGGTACGGAGCGATTTCCTCTTTTTCATGCTAAACTCCCGCAGGCAGTTTCAACTGACTGCTGGAAAAATAACCAATCTCAATGTGGACCGTTTCCGAGGGGTGAGTAAATCCGCCTCCACTTAAGTATTATTTTCTATTCTATATTTTAAAATATCTTTAGACAATCACCACCGCCTTCTCCTTTCTCACATTGCTGCAGAAAATGGACGCGAGAGGTTAGACAGCCGAATTGGCTTTGTGTTTTTATTAATTTATAATCATTAATAATAGAAAAATTAGCATTTAAATAAAATATCAAAAAACAGTTGAAAGAGGCTTCGCATCTATGCCCAATTCTTATGTTTTAACCTTTTAATGTTTTTGTTATTCAATAATTGCTTCAACTTTGGCCATTACACTCTGCTTCTCAAGTGCGTTACAGAACTATAGCAAATTGTGCTTCAAAACAAATGAATCTTTGTGCTTTCTGATTCAAAATTAATTATGGGACTAATGACGTCTTTTAAAAATGCATCCATCAATAAGTTGCATTTAAGTGAACAAAATATATTAAGTAAATTCATTCTGATAATAAAGAAATTGTAAAATTAAAAAATCGTGATTACATTCATTGTGCTTTTATATTCGCAATTAATTTAAACAAACACAAAACGACTTCAAGTTTCTTATCTTAAGTTGACATAATTACGTCTATCTGATATTCCATCGATAAAAATGGCCAATAGAATTGTAACGCACTTTACACGATTTAAAAACAAATACAAATGTAATGCTGATTTATTCACTAATGAAATAAGCCCGGTTGCTAATCTTGTTGTATATGTGTTATTTCTTGAATTTAATTAGTTTCTTCTGAATTAAATTAAAACTTTTTCTTATATTCATGTGCTTGACAGATAAATAAATATTCATTGATTCCACACGATTGCATGATTAACACTAAAAGCAAATTAAATGATATACATGTATAAGGTACTTGGGTTAACTCTTCTTCAACTCCCTACCTCGCCATCGCCCCGCCTCGCGATATTGTTAACTACGTTTGAGCAAGTGATTTGCTTAACAATTTGTTATATTCTCTGGGTTCTCTCACAATTATTGTGCTTGGCATTTTGTACAGTATCAAAAATGGTTTGTTACATGCTTTCTATTGCGGCCGAATACTACAGTTCTTGTTTATTTTTACATTACATCTTAGCATTAGGCAAATGTTTTAACACTTGCTTACAATTAGTTAATAGATTTGCCCTTCATTTTGCTTTTTTTTATAAAAATGTACATATTTCTTTTGGGTTTTCAATCGGGAATTTCCCGAGCAGATTGCGGTTGTCTGCTGATTTCATATATATTTGAATTATATGTTTTGTAGACTTCTTAAATCTGTTGAATTTATGGTAATTATTATCAAAAAAATATATTTACGTTTTTAATTTATGTATCTTATAATCATTTCCCATTCCGATTTCCCTCTTACTCAGCAACTTTCTATCATTTGTTTAATTTCGTTTATGTATAGGTATATATTACACAAAGCATAACAAGGCGAGCAGCCACAACAACAGCAACAACAACAAGGCAGACAGAACAACAATTTGCAATTGTTGCTTATTTTGATAAATGCAATGAGTATACTGTTGCTGTTGCTCCCGCTTGTGCTGTACATTCCCCCTAAGGTTCCTTGTGCTGTGAACTGAGTATGTGGCATTCCTCCTCGCGCAAATGCCCCTGTTCGCTTTGGCCGATTGTTGTTGTTGCTGCTGATGCTGCTGTCGCGGCTTCTTGCTGTTCCTGCCGCTGCTGTTGACTAGTTGGAGCTGCCTGCGACGCTAGCTTGCAAGCGCGTGCGCCGTACTCGTGCTGTTATCGTGGTTATAGTGCTCGGTGTTCACGATCACCTGCACTACGTATCCCTGGTGTATGCTGCACTCGTCTATGGGCACCTTATCACCCAGCAGTTTGCCGCTGTAAAACCATCTCTGACAGCAGGCGTCCACATTCTCGGCGGCCTATAAGAGGACAAAATAATGATATGAATACAACGCAAAATTCATTAAGCACAGAAACATCTTGTCTCTCTGCTTTTGCATAAGCCGTGTTCCTTTGAAAGCCAGATAGCATCGGTATGTTTCATTTCAAAACTGGTTTAAGCTTAATACCTCAACAATGGGCTCTTGAACTCACCTGCAGCTTCTTCTTGCACTGACCCACCGTATCCTTGGAGTACACCGGCAGTTTAACATCAGTCATGCTAGATGATATGCGCAGCTTTAGGAATATCTCGGTACCGCCATCCACTGGCTCAGAGTATTCGGCAGGGGAGTCGCGTCCGTTCTCCTCCTTAACGATATTGATGGGATATGACAGACAGTAGATGGGCACCTTGTACTGGGTGCCCAGCTCATCGTAGCACTCTGTTAGGTAGCTGCGAAAATAACAAATAGAGTCAGTAACCAGGTGTGCCATCCGCTCTGTATCACTATCTTATCACAAATCCCAGCCACCCCAAAAAGACCATTAGTCAACCCATTGAGCCTAATGCTAATGATTCAATGCCAAGTGGGGTAGGCAGCTAGGGTCTGATAAAGGCCTGATAACGACGGTATTACGTCGGGAGCGGCAAGCCATCCAGTCGACAAGGACACGAACATGCAACATGCGGAAAGTGGTGGAAAGGTCAGCGCTGCATTTAAATAAATATAGTTCACAGTCCTCGTTTAGCGAAAGTCAGAGTGTCAGTTGAAAATCGATGTCGAATGTCTAATAAAAACGTTAGCACACACTTTCAATGCAAAGTCGGCGTATCAAATACCCTACTCGGGAAGTATGTTCTGAATGTATACATTCAATTTGTAATTGTTTTGCAGTTGCAGTTGGTAAATCAACCATTGATCAAGAGCTTTTAGTAATAACCATAATGTTTATATGTCACAATCCTCTTAAACCAACTTGACACCGTATTCGTAGTTAGGCATAATCATGTCAAACTATCCGCGTGCCAGTAGCGCTATTTCTTCATAATTCCGACTCCCCTGGTAGGACTCATCACTAATTTATGATACCCCGTCGCGGTCCGGCAAAGGACACAGGCAAATCGCTGTCATGCATTAATGGAGTTATGGCCGGACGAAAACTATATACATTATTGATTTTCTCGCCCGAGCCGCGAGCAGACGATGGCAATTAGCATGCCGTGTCATTAGGGACACTGGAATGCCACTGATTTGGGGTGGTCAAGCCAACTTACCCATTCGGCACAGAGATATTGGCCCCGTCGAGAATGGCCTGGGCCATTTGGAAGTCGAGACCCTCGGCCGCGTTGGTAGCCGCCCGCAATGCATCCCAGATCTCCTTGCGTCCATCAAAGGCCGGCGCCGTGTCCCAGAACTCGTCCCGCTTGGAACGCAACTGGCCCTCGGTTAGCGGGACGTCCGAGCGCCAGCGGATGGTCTCGTGGCAGAGCGGGCGGTTTTTGCGCGCCGCGCCCATGGCAATGCCTGTCGCCGGGAAGATGAGATTAATGACTGATATAGACACTGCGGCCGAGGCCGATGATGCGCTCGAAGGCCACTCACCTGCACTGGCCGGACGCGAGATACTCGCCGAGGAGACGCTCATCGTTTCATTGTCAGGGTTCATACGACACACACAGGCGCCCATTGCGACGGATACAGGTGCAGGTTCAGCTGCAGAAGCACGCCTACGGCCACACACAGCACAGCTCCGCTTCGGTTAGAAGGATCTGGATCTGGATGGAGCGATATATAGTATTGTATATATATATATAATATATATGTGCGTGGTCACGTAGGTACACTGGTACGACGTGCAAGTTCCGTTCCGTATAGTCGGAAACTCGGAGACACCTAGTAGGAAACTCACATCCGCACCTCCCCGCACAGCCGCCTTGTTTGCCTGCTCGCCACCTACGTGTGTTTGAATCTGGTGGCTGTTTATACTATGTGCCCCTTGTTTTCGGGCTCGGTTATCGAATCGCCTGCCTTTATTTTTATTATTGTTGCTGCGGCCCGTGCCTTTTATTTTATTATTTGCCCGACTCGACCAGTGTGACCGCCGCCCGAGCGCCAAAAGAGGATACTAGTGTTCGCCGGAAAGTACTAAATTATGCGGCTGATGTAAAATACTAAAAACCGTGACTGGTGTTCGCACGACTTTGTAAAATATATTTTGAGAGTGTGAAATTATTCTTTTATTATTAGAAAGCATAAGGTTAATATAAAAACGCTTTTGTATAAAATTACCTAATCTCGGCTTGAACTGAACTTGACAAATCCGAGCTCGGTTTTTTATTATGATTACGGGCACACTGGTATGCAAAATAGAATAATCGATTTATCGACTGAAGTCGATAGTAGACAATGCTTATTCAAATATTTAAAATAAATTTATGTTCATCTTTATTTGTATATGTAAAGTTAAAATATAATTGTTTTTGTTGTAATGTAAATGATTTAAACAATATTATATGAATACACATTCATATTTATATTTTTTAATTTATGTTTTCCGAAATTGAAAATGTGTTGATAGGTTTGTAATTAATGTTGAAAATAAGAAAAATATATATATTTTGTAAATATTAAAATCATTTAAATACATTTTTCAATCGTTTAATTTATAAAAGGATACAAAAAGACATGAACAAGTGTGTCCCAATGCTCGCTGCTTTCCAGTTGCACTGCTCTCTTTCTCCCGCTCTTCGGACTCTATTGGAATATTGGAGCAGCACCCAAAGACGGCAACAGAAAGCAGCTGAAGAGAAAAAAAAAACGAGCAAAAAACCAGACGACCTCGACCAAAGCTGTCGCAAAAACAAAAGAAATAAAAGCATGCAAATTAAAGTCCAACATATGCAGTGTGGACAGGAGTGAATTAACGGGACGAAACGAGGGGAAATCTTGATAATGAGAGCTAATTTGATAGATAAGTGTAGAAAACGGACATATCTTTCACTTTTATATAAAAGAAAGGATAAACAAATAAATTAAATACAAGTATTTATTGGTAAATTATTTTCAAAGAAAAAGAAAATTTTCCTTTATTTACTTTTAATAAATTAGACAGGTTCGAGGATATAAAACCTTATTGCATTAACCAATGCGCAATTATTTTGAGGACCCGCTACCAGCTTTGTTAACCGTTACCACTCACCACTTCAAAAAAACAGGCAGCGGCGGTCCAAGTAAAAAATATAAACAACAAAAACAAGCTTTTACGCTCATAAAAATTCACTTCCAGCGACAGCGCAGTCGCACCGCAGCTGGCAGCGGGCCACTTCCAATGGGCAAAAACGAAAGACTTCAATTCAGTTTGGCGAAGACAACGAACTCGAAAAGAGCTACCGCGGACAGCAGCGAAAGAAAACGAGGCGGAGAGAGAAACGTCTTACAAAACGGTACGTGCGCGCATGCGTGTGCGAGTGAGTGTGCCTGTGTCTGTGAGCGAGTGCCAGTGTGTGCGGCCAAAAGTTTAGTGCAGCAGCAACAACAACCATTTTACCACCAACACACGGCCAACAGCAGCCAGCAAAAGAGAAAAAAATTAATGAAAAGAAATCAAATACGAAATACTCGCACGAAATTTAATTTGAAAATCAGTGGGCCACGCAGGCGAAAATAAGAAAAGGAGAGAGAAGCTTCCAGCTGGCCAAATTATGCAGAATCGCTGGCCGAAAGCAGTGAAAAGTGTCTCTGTGTCTTGGAATTCCTCTGTTCTTTTTATAGCCAGCTTAACCGGAGCAACATTCACCTGGCCAACTCTCTCACTCTCGCTATCTGTGAGAGACAATCGCGCTGATTCGTTGGCCTTTTCTTTTGTGCCATTTCATCGCCGTCATCCGATCGTCAGCCCTAACGAACGGTACAATTTTCTTTGCCATACATCTTCATGTGAAAGTTACGACGGATCTCTTTCTATTTCGTTGGCAGCAGCAGCAGCAGCAGCATTAGCCTCAGCTTCTTGCTTTTCTTTCGAGCCACTTCTGCTGCTAACGGGTTTTCGGTTAACTCGTTGGCAACACTTTTGCTTTTACTATACCATAATACTACCCTGAATAAGCTGCAGTGGATCTGGCTATTTAGCATTTCGAAGCTGGAAACAATTTGCGTTGTTGCGGACCACAAACCCGTTCGTCGAAATATATCAACACACCCAAAAATCAAGCAACTTGTTCTATAAATTATAAAATTAAATTAGCAACCCAAGGCGAGTTGGCCCGCGAGAAGAGTCTCAAGATTTTCTTGGCATTTAGCACGCGTTAAGTGGGGTTTATTTATTTTCCGGAGGCTTTCACAGCGAAACGTGCCAATGGGAAATGTCACCTGGGGTAGATTTTCACCTGGATCATCTTCATAGAGCTAAATCCAACCAGTCATCCGTTTGGCATTTTCCATCAGATTCGCTGAGACGCCTCCATGGCGAGATTCAGCCTCAGTCCGAGCTATTTAACCAAACCCCTCTGTCTCGAGGCCTCGCTTCTCTCCGATTCTTCAGCTGTTCGCTTCGCTCATTTAAATTTTGCTCACAATTTTGAGTGGCTCGCAGCCAAACAACAAACCTCTGCAAATAGTCAGTATTTATTTGTTTTCTCTCTCCATAAACCAAGTGCCTCCTAACTGTTGTTTGGGGCATTAAATATAAGTAAATACAATGGCAGTTATAAATAAATTTAGCTTTTAGTCTAGTCTCTTTATACATCTCTTAGCATCTGAAAAAAAAACTTTAAATTAAAACTGGCTTTACCTTCTTTCTCTTTGTATGTTAACTCATTAAATATGACAACTCATCGGTGGTTGGATAAGTCCTTCGGCAACCGGTATACAGTCATCAATGAAAGCCCAAATTAAAAACCCCAACAAAAGACAAATCATTCTCGAATCTCAAGTCAAAGAAGAAGCGGAATAACACAGAAAATAAAGTGTCAGTTCCGATTCAACTTACGCATTACGTAAAAACCAAACATTAAGCTTGACTGTGACTCATTTCGCATAATCAAAATGCTTCAATTCAATTTTAACTATTGATGGTTGTCCCTTTTAATTTAACAGCATAATTCATGAAACCACTCGAAAACAATCAAATTTTCTGCAATTGAATGCCTTTTAATTGATTTCGTCTCCAATTTACAAAAGATTTTGTGAGTCACTCAATTTGGTTGCACTTTTGGCCCAAAAAGTTGTATATGTATGTATTTCCAGGTAAAACGGTAAAAAGGTAAACAGGCAAACAAAAATTAAATAAAAAGTTGGAAGAACTTAAAAAAATGAGTTGGCATCAAGTTAAGGAGTCTCTTTAGATTGCAAAAGGAAGCAAAATGAGGTTATTCTGTGACGCTGACAAATGAGTATAAAGTTACAAATGTCAATAATATTTATTTAGGTCAAATTAATCTTTGGCTTAATTGGTTTTATTCTTTTTAGTTTAATCAAGATACGTAAACTTAAATAGGTTTTGTTTCGCAGAAATATTTTCCCTTTTATTGCAGTTTGTGGAAAAGAATCTATATAAATTATCCATATTAATTATCGATTTTATGTTAATTACATTTTGGTTTCTATATCAAGACCTGATATCTCAAAGGTAGAAATATCTGTACAATTTGGTTGGATGATGCAAGCTCTTCCAATCTTCATAACTTAACATTGCCAAGCTTAGAGTTGGGCGCAGCCTCCACATGTATGGCCGTAGATCAATGGACATGAATCACGCAACTCGATATGATACTGGTATTCCTGCAATCGGATTGCAGGCAACCTTCAAGCAATTGTAGCTCTCCGCTGTGGCAAGCATAAATCAAGCGCTTAAATGGCCAATCCCAGTGAGCTGACCAGTGGTGCACATTGAACCCACACCCATGGATGTCCGCGTCCGCGTCTGCGGTTCCCCCCCTGGATCGCCAAAGGCAAAACTTGCCCCATCTCGGCCCCATGTCACCATTGTAGTACTCGCAGCTCGTTCCGGCTTGGTTCGCCAGCAATTTTTCACTTAATGCCTGCGACTTAACTCCTAGCCGCGCATATTTCTTGGCCACAACTCGATTGGTTTTCCTGTAGTGCGCCGAAAACTGGTTGTCCGGCAATCGGCAATTGGCAATCCAATCCATTCAGTCGGCAGCTGGTCGGCGTGGCCGGTTCGATTGCCGCGTTCCCGTTTTGACTAGTTGGCTCAAGTTAAGTGTAGCAATCGATTTATGCGCCAGCCCAAGCAGCAACAACTGCTGCAGCCCCAACATGTATCTGTATCTATATATGTATGTATCTGTATCTGTATCGGCATCGCATAGATTGTGTTCACTTATTTCTCTAACATTTATTTTACAAGTATCTGACTTTCACTTTTTTTTATTTTCCTGCCTGTCTTTCTGACTGGCGGTCGGTGGAGCGCAGGTTTTAATTGTTCGCCTTCTTTGGCGGGGCTGTCTTAGCCCCTAAACCCAAACAATCAGTCGGATACATATGTTTATAGATACAGAGAAACAAAATATTAGCCTATACTGTTGGAAAAGATACAGATAAGTCTTGTATAGAATTTATTTTATAGACAAGTCCATGCTTTGCTCAATTACATTAATCTTGATAGAAGTTTTTCTTGTTCAATATTGAATTCATGAATGCTTGTATTACATTGTTTCATGGAATTGTAAGGCTAGTTTCTCGCGGCTGAGATAGTCAAAAATAAAAATAAAAGAGTGCTGTTCAGCTGCTGTTTAAATATTATTCAGTACCAAAACGTAAAACTAAATATCTACGATTATTCCTTTGAAACTAAACTAGTTATTTCCTATTTCTCTCTTCGGAGCTAGCCACTTTTTGTGATATTTTTTTGCCCATGTATCTTTGGGTATGTGCAGCGTTTTTGTCCATTATGCTCCATCCCAATAGCCGTTCACTTCGCCTCCATTCCATCTCCTGCCTCTGCTTCCCCTCGCCTGGCGCTAATGTGATTATTACAACAGACAAAAATTATTAAATCGCCCAACGCCTGCAGCTGTGTGCCCCATTGTCTCTTTGTGGGCAGCACAAAAGAGTTCGGCTCCACATGCCGCTCCAGCAAGGCCTCCAGTCCGCCCGCTCCAGTTTGCCTTCCTGTCCAACCGGTTGGCTATCGGAGATCTATAACATAATATAAAAGAAAGAATATGCCTGTATCTCTGACTCCGCCGAGAGTCAATTGCAGAGTCGTAATCCTTTTCGGGCTCGATCTTTCTGGCCCCTCGGCGTTGATTGAACGCGTCGACATGAATGCTTAATTGGTTTTATGTCGTTTTTTTTTCAAAGACTTGAATTTTCTTCCACTTAGGTCATATTTGGTATGGCTAGCACGTTCTTTGTGTGGGTAAAAGTACTCCAATGTTGAGGCTGGCTAGGGTTAACTGAGTTCAACTAACCGGGGATTTACCAAGTTCCTTTGGAACCCAGGAGAATCTAGACAGTATAGACCTTGCTCGTCTGAAAGTATTTCCATTCTGGGTAGTATATTCTGCTAAGAATTAAATAAACTGGGCTTTAAATTCATTTCTAAACTTGATAACTTGTTAAATTCTAGTGATTAGGTACTGAATGACTATATTTTCCAAGTTAATTTGAAACATTATTTAGTTTTTTTTCGCTAAATGTTTAACCAAATGGTTTTAGTTTAATAGACCAATTAATCTTTCAAACCCGATGCATAAGTCTTGATATACCAAACAAGTTCATTAACAGGTAGATCTAGGGACTTTAAATGAATTAAAATACCAAAAAATTCGAAGTTTAAGAGCTGCTGTATTCATTTTCTGAATTTCTCGTCTAGAAATTGAAAGATTTTAAGACAAATATTAAGACGCACTTAGTACTAGTCCAAGTTCAACTGGTGTTTGAGATCCATTCTAGGGGACATTTGACATTTAACAGAGCCGCAATTCAATGGCAGTGGCCAAGTTAATCGGTTTTGTGCCGTCTTCTGTCCGATGGTTGCTCAATTGCATGTATTTCCCATATCAAATTGATTTCGCATTTTGAGTTGCCAAAGAGGCTAAGACGAAACTGGTTTCCATTGGGGCTTGAGAAACAAGAGAGGAGATGACTTAACGAGTAGATAATATATGCTAAAGTGGTTATTAAATCAATTTTAACGACATAATCAGGCATAAATAAGCAGAAAAAAAGAGTGACACAGCCAAGGAAACTTTCAGCGCAAAAAAGAAATGCATGGATGCAAGTAGAAACGACCGTGACAGGACTCGAACCTGCAATCTTCGGATTCGAAGTCCGACGCCTTATCCTTTAGGCCACACGGTCTGGTTGAATCGTCACGTTCGTTCCTGCCCCATAAAGCCCGAAACAGGCCCACTCCCAAGGACAGGCCGCCACGAAAGCATCCTGCCACTCCTCTGAAAATGTGTGCTTAAAAGCCACCCTTACCCTCCATTAAGCTCTAAAATTGTGCGTCACCTTCTTGGGGGTAGAGGGAATGTGTGGGAGTTGTTGTCCATTTGGGGTGGTTCATCCTATGCCACGATGACCGCCTTGTGCGCAGAATCCTCCACAAGGGGGTCGGATTCAACCCACAGCATCCTTTGGCTGAGTCAGCTGTTACCCAGCTGCATGGATGCAAATTTTTAAGCTTTCACTAGATTTAATATTCTTTTTTCTGACCCAGGTTACTGATTTGTTGCAAAATTTCTTTTGAATTTTGACAGCTCGTTCAATGACACAAAGATCTTTTCAATGTTGAAATATGTTTGAAACTTGAATCCCATTTAGAAACTTAAAATTTTAAATCCTCGATAGCATTGAGTTTTCCTTCATTTTCATTCCATTCAGTCTGTGTAATGTTATAGACAACCGACCACCAGTAAAGGTTTCAAAATTCCTGTTTTGTATATTGTCAACAAATTTCCATCAGAGCTCTCCGCGTACACCATGCCGAAGGCCTTGAGTCCCCAATCGATGGCCCAAAGCCCACAGATGGAGACCTTTAATGTGACCCAGGTGAGCACCTCCGCATTGGGTAGAGGTCGGGGTGTTCAGCTGCCGCCGTTGTTGGCCAAAGGACATATCCAGCCGGAGCAGTTGGCCAACGTTCGGTTCCGGCTGGTGGAAGTCGATACGCAGCCCCTCAGTGATCGGCAGTTCAATGCGTTGATAAAGAGACTGGTCAAGTGCTTCATGGCCGAAGTGGAGATCACCAAACGGCTGCGCAAGATATCATCTCAGAAGTCTGTCCTGCCAGCGAACATGCAACTTATTCGGCACATGGAGGGGCTGCGTCGAAGCTACGAGACCGAGAGATCTGGTCTGGTGACGAAGCTTAGCCGGGACTGCAGGTTCCGTCCGTATGCCACTATTACGGCCCACAGTACAGAGAGTGAATCAAACACTTCCTGCAAGGCTCGGAAAAGCAAGTCACTGGAGATCCTTTCTAAAGGCAGCGAAGGGTCAGAAAAAACCGCAGACTCAGATGCTTCCACCAGCCGGCAACGACAGAGCGGAGGAGTTGAACCGATCATCTGTAACCGCATAGAACCACCTGCGGGTCTTTGCAAGAGGTTGCGGGAAAAGCTCTACAGACTGCAGGAAATAGCCAAGGCCCAGATAGAATCCTCCTCAAGCGACGAATCTCTAAACACGTCCACTACGTTAAGTTCGTTCGACTTGTTCTATGACATGAAGAACTTTTAGGAATGCATTGGGATTCAATAATTTGGGTTTACTACTTGGATTTTCCTGACCATCGTCATCAATATGCAGTTTAATTGACAATATAGAAAAAAAAACCTGAAACTGATATTGATTTCTTTTATTTGAATACATTTTCAAGTGGATTCAAAGATTATATATACTCCTCTATATAAGACACAAAGCTGAAGTCTTTCCTATTTGTAATTAGTAATGGGTTTCCATAGACTCGGCTTACAATTTTTATTTCTTGTAATATCCCATAACTTCTACCATCGCCCGGCAGCAATTCCGATTGGAATACTTCAATCTTCAATTTGCCTCATAATCATAAATATTGCACTCGGACCGGAATCTGGCACAAGGCCCTCATTGGCAGAACAATACGAGCAGGCAACTGCAACTGCAACGCCACATCCAACTGCTAGTCAAACGAGTAATCGTACTTAATTACCATAAAGCAGAAGAAGCCCCCCGGCATCAACATCGGTTTCAGTTCCGTGCCACATGTGGAACGACTGAGGCGTGTCCGTGCTCCGCCCCGAAGCCAAGTCTCGAGTTGCGCATGCGACTTACGTGGCTCCATCAATTCCTAAGCTAACTTCATGCTGAAAATTTCCCAAGTGAAAGTGAAAAGCTGATGCGAAAAATCATGGTCTGAGAGATGTTAATTTAATCGCTGAGATTCCCAAACTATGAATCACTTGAATGAGATTATATTTTGGTTTCTTGAAAAGATCTACATAAGCTTCTTTTGAATATATTTGCATGATGTGAATGAAGGCAAGACAACTATTAAGTTCAGAGTACTTTAAACGACTATTTTGTGGGGCCCCCTCTTGAATATAAAATGCAGTTTCTGTGCGTGTAAGAAAAGCTCATCTCAAGGTTCAACTGGGAACGACCTGAAACCTAAACCGGTCTGTGAGAGGAGTCAAAGGACGCCTGTCCTTGGTTCTCCGTTTCCATGCCCATAAATTGCGTGTCCATTAAAACCGGCTTATCGAACCATCACCGAACCAGCCGCAATTACACTCTTACCTCTCCTCCATCTCCCTTTGCAGCCGAACATTTGCATTCCCGTCCAAGATTGGGGGCTAGCACCAACCGTGGGAGATGTCTGCGATGCGGCATCGCCCAATGGCCCCGCCGGGGCCCGGAGCCGGAGCTGGGGGCGCCGGTGAACACGGCGACAGCGATGACAACAACTTCACCGACGACGAGAGTTCGCCGCTGACTCACGACATCTACGGCGGCAGGTAGGTCTATACCCTCTCACCCACTCACCCTTGGTTCCAGCGCCCAGCTCTTTGGCCAAAAAGTTCGTCAAAAATTTATGCAAATCGCTAGCTGGCTAACTAACTACCGCGGAACGGCAGCCGGAACCGAACTGTCTTGGCCAAGACAGCTGTAATTAAGCCCGCTTCGGCCGAGATTGCTTCACAGTCACTTTCAATTCAGTGCAGGGCGGAGTCGGAAATGCCGGAAGTCAAGATCATCTAGTCGAGCGAACAGCATTGCAATAGGCACAAAGATCACTGGTCTGTGAGCTGATCTATATCGGATTACTGCTAGGGGGCACTGATCTATACAATATACAATAATCGTAATAAGTAAAAGCTTAATCAACAAATTATTTATACATTTTCTTAGCCAACGCACCATACAAGAAACTAAAGGATGGGATGTGTTCAGAGATCCACCGATAAAAATCGAGACTGGATCGACGGCGAATCAGGAGTGCCTAGAATTAACCATCAAAATCCTCAAGATCTTCGCTTATGCGATTACTTTTATCATAGTTTTAACCGGTGGCGTCATCGCCAAGGGCACAATGCTCTTTATGACGTCGCAAGTACGCAAGGATAAGAAGATGGAGTACTGCAACAAGGACTTGGTAAGATCCGTCTTTAGTTAAAAGTGTGATCTTTAAAGATTGCTAATTCCTCATTTTATTTTTAACAGGGTCGAGACAAAAGCTTTGTGGTGCGGTTGCCGGAGGAGGAGCGTGTGGCCTGGATTTGGGCTCTGCTGATAGCCTATGCCCTGCCGGAGATCGGAGCCCTGATCCGGTCCGCCCGCATCTGCTTCTTCAAGACCTTCAAGGTGCCCAAAACGGGGCACTTCCTGTTCGTCTGGCTGATGGAGAGCCTGAGTGCCGTGGGCACAGCACTGGTGATGTTCGTGGTCTTGCCCCAGATCGATGCGATCCAGGGTGCCATGCTGACCAATTGCCTGTGCGTAATCCCAGGCATCTTTGGCCTTCTGTCGCGCACCTCCAAGGAAGGCAAGCGGTTCGTGAAGGTGATCATCGATCTGGCGGCGGTGGCGGCCCAGGTAACGGGCTTGGTGATCTGGCCGCTCCTGGAGAACCGCCGTGAGCTCTGGGTCATCCCTGTGGCCTGTGTCATGATCTCGTGTGGCTGGTGGGAGAACTACGTGTCTCCCCAGTCTCCGCTGGGACTGGTGCGGGCTCTTGGACGCATCAAGGAGGAGATGAAGTACACCCGCTACTTTTGCCACATATTTCTCTCCATCTGGAAGATTCTGCTCTTCTTCACCGTCACCCTGATGATCTATTGGGCGCAGGGCGAGGAGCCTGGCAATCTGTTCTCCATGTACGGAGATGCCTTCGGACCGCACAAGATCATCGTTTACGAGCTGCCAGCCGGATTGGGCGGAGTTCTGCCCGATACCTTGGAATCGGCCAATATAGACACTGTGGATGTGGACGCCGCCTACAACACGGTGGTGTATGTGCTGCTACTGCAGATCTTTGGCTCCTACCTGTGCTACATCTTTGGCAAATTCGCCTGCAAGATCCTCATCCAGGGATTCAGTTACGCCTTCCCAGTGAGTCTAACCGTGCCCCTGTCCGTTTCATTCCTGATTGCCGCCTGTGGCATCCGGATTGATGATCCCTGCTTCTTCCACGACACTATTCCGGATTACCTGTTCTTCACGAGCCCCTCAAACTTCCGGTTCAACAACTTTGTGACCGAGCAAATGGCCTGGGCCTGGATTCTGTGGCTTCTGAGTCAGACCTGGATAGCTTTGCATATTTGGACGCCCAAGTGTGAGCGTCTGGCCACCACCGAGAAGCTGTTTGTGAGGCCCATGTACTCCTCCCTGCTCATTGATCAGTCGATGGCCCTCAACAGGAGGCGGGACGACCAGGCAGATGTTAAAACAGAGGTAAGTTAGGATTATTTTATATAATAAAACAATATTCTAAAACAGGATCTACCCTCTCAGGACCTCTCAGAGATTGAGAAGGAAAAGGGTGATGAGTACTACGAGACCATCTCGGTGCACACAGATCGCTCTTCGGCTCCCAACAAGCCCTCCATTAAGTCCTCAGACAATATCACTAGGATCTATTCCTGCGCCACCATGTGGCACGAGACCAAGGACGAGATGATTGAGTTCTTGAAGAGCATCATGCGAATGGATGAGGATCAATGTGCCCGTCGTGTGGCGCAGAAATATCTGCGTGTCCTTGATCCGGACTACTATGAATTTGAAAGTAAGTACCTCATCAGGCTTCAGCTGAATGTGGATAACAAATATTTTAAATTACAGCTCACATTTTCTTCGACGATGCCTTCGAAATTTCCGACCACAGTGATGACGATATCCAATGCAATAGGTTCGTTAAACTCCTGATAGCCACCATGGACGAGGCTGCTTCCGAGATTCACCAGACCACGATCAGGCTGCGTCCGCCCAAGAAGTACCCCACTCCCTATGGCGGTCGTCTGGTGTGGACCCTTCCTGGCAAGACCAAGTTCATCACTCATCTTAAGGACAAGGATCGCATTCGTCACAGAAAACGCTGGTCGCAGGTGATGTACATGTACTATCTTCTGGGTCATCGCCTCATGGAGCTCCCAATTTCGGTCGACCGGAAGGATGCAATTGCGGAGAACACCTACCTTTTGACCCTGGATGGAGATATTGACTTCAAGCCGAATGCGGTGACGCTTCTGGTGGATCTGATGAAGAAGAACAAGAATCTGGGCGCAGCCTGCGGACGCATCCATCCTGTGGGCTCGGGCCCAATGGTGTGGTACCAGTTGTTCGAGTACGCCATTGGTCATTGGCTGCAGAAGGCCACGGAGCACATGATCGGATGTGTGCTCTGTTCGCCCGGATGCTTCTCCCTGTTCAGAGGCAAGGCCCTAATGGACGACAATGTGATGAAGAAGTACACCACCCGGTCGGATGAGGCGCGTCATTACGTGCAGTACGATCAGGGCGAGGACCGTTGGCTCTGCACGCTGCTCCTCCAGAGAGGCTATCGCGTGGAGTACTCGGCCGCCAGTGATGCCTATACCCATTGTCCCGAGGGCTTCAACGAGTTCTACAATCAGCGAAGAAGATGGGTGCCCTCGACCATAGCCAATATCATGGATCTCCTGGCAGATGCGAAGCGCACGATCAAGATAAACGACAACATCTCCCTGCTGTACATCTTCTACCAGATGATGTTGATGGGTGGCACTATCCTGGGACCGGGCACCATCTTCCTTATGTTGGTGGGTGCCTTCGTAGCTGCCTTCCGGATTGACAACTGGACCTCCTTTCACTACAACATTGTGCCCATCCTGGCCTTCATGTTTATATGCTTCACCTGTAAATCGAATATCCAACTGTTTGTGGCCCAAGTCCTGTCCACGGCGTATGCCTTGATTATGATGGCTGTGATAGTGGGTACGGCTTTGCAATTAGGTGAGGATGGAATAGGCTCACCCTCGGCCATTTTCTTGATATCCATGGTGGGATCATTCTTCATAGCCGCATGTTTGCATCCGCAAGAGTTCTGGTGCATAACATGCGGCCTTATTTACCTACTATCCATCCCGTCTATGTACCTGCTGCTCATCCTGTACTCGATCATCAACCTGAACGTCGTCTCCTGGGGCACACGCGAGGTGGTGGCCAAGAAGACGAAGAAGGAACTGGAGGCGGAGAAGAAAGCCGCCGAGGAGGCAAAGAAACGTGTCAAGCAGAAGAGCATGCTCAGCTTCCTGCAGAGCGGAATTGGCGACAATGGCGACGAAGAGGGATCTGTGGAATTCTCACTCGCCGGGCTATTCCGCTGCATTTTCTGTACCCACGGTAAGACCTCCGATGAGAAGCAGCAGCTGACCACCATTGCCGAGTCTTTGGACACGATCAAGCAGCGTATGGACACCATCGAGAGTGCTGTGGATCCCCACGGGCATCATGCCTCGCGACATGGCCGCAGGAGAACCACCTCCAGTGGCTCCAAGGATCATCATCTACTAACTTCGGTGGCGGAGAAGTCAGGCGACGAGACGGATGTATCGGATTCGGATACCTCAGCTGAGCCGAAGCAGGAGCGAGACTTCCTTACCAATCCGTACTGGATCGAAGACCCAGATGTACGCAAGGGCGAGGTGGACTTCCTGTCCAGCACGGAGATTCAGTTCTGGAAGGACCTCATTGACCAGTACCTCTATCCCATCGACAATGATCCCGTGGAGCAGGTGAGATGCGAATTATGTTTTCAGGAAGTTTGTTGAATGTTTTTAGTTAGTTAATTTGATTTGTGAATAATGTAGTATACTCTCTCTCTCTAGACAAAAATCTCGCTTTTATAAATTGAAAGTATTTTTGTCCGATATATTTTAGCTTCAATATCTAAAGATTCTAAGAACTGAAGGGAAAGTATGCTTAAAGTAAAGATTTAGAAACCGGAATAATTTTTGGCCTTGTATTTTTGAGTTTATTGCTCCATAAAAAAGCAAATAAAAGAGAGCTTAAAGTGAAACAATTGTACCTTAAGAAAAGTAAATGTCAATCAGTGAAGTCATTCAAACGAGTTTAAGCTAGGGAACTTAAAGACAAAGAGTTAAATACCAGTTTTAAATATAGAAAAAGCATGGAATGTGTAGTTTTATATATACTCCTGTATGTTTTCACTGAAAGCATGTAGGATTAGTCTTCGGTGTTTCGAAGCCAGCCTTTGTGTATATTTGTTCGGGACATTATTCCGACCCAAAACCGATCTTAACCACAAATCGCCGCGAAATCGGATAACGCTCTTGTAGGCCCGCATAGCAAAAGATCTGAAGGAGCTGCGCGACTCGTCGGTGTTTGCCTTCTTTATGATCAACGCACTGTTCGTGCTGATCGTGTTCCTGCTGCAGCTGAACAAGGACAACATCCACGTGAAGTGGCCGTTCGGAGTCCGGACGAACATCACCTACGACGAGTCCACACAGGAGGTAATTGCCAAGTTGGCCGAACGAACTAACACATCTCTTGGTTTATTTCTTTCTTTGGCAACCACGATCCGAACCATGACACGAAGGCCCGCATTGCCTCCGATCTGATTGAGCTGCGGAACAAGTCGGTGTTTGCGTTTTTCATGGCCAACGCCTTGTTCGTGCTGATTGTATTCTTGTTGCAACTGAACAAGGACAAATTGCACATCGTTTGGCCGTTGGGCGTCAAAACGAACATTACCTATATCGAAGAGACATCTGAGGTTTATAAATCAAGCTAATTACGATGTTCCACTTACTACCACTATGTACAACTGTGCGCTCAGTGTTTGTTGTCTTACCCCAAAACCTCTGGAAGGGTCCTAACTTCCTGCCTCTCCTCTCTGTTTCACTCTAAACCCTAAGTGTTTAATACCCGTTCAACATGTCACATCACCAACTCAGCTAATGATGTCCTTTGTTCTCTGTTACTGTTACCCGTTTTATTGAACCCCATCCTTATGGTTCAGGCTTATATATCATACGAAAATCATCATGTAAAAACAACAGAACAACATTTCGACATTTAAGCGGTTCTAACAGTTGCCCCCAAGAAACACGGTTAACTGCAAAAGCCATAAATCTATATCCTCCCTTCTGAATAGTGCCCAGAGTCATGGCAAGCATGTTCATTGGTCCTCCAACATCCACACAGTATCAATGTGTCCCAATAAATATATAAACAAACCCGACATATAACCAACCTCCCGAATGGTATCACACCTCAACCTCAACATGCCACAATCACCGACAATTGGTGCTGAGATCAGCCATTATCCGTGCCCAAATCCAAATCGTCAACTGTCACTAACCCGACCTTGAATACCCGAGAGTTTCCACTAATTCATCTGTTTTTCGCATAGGTTCATATCTCCAAGGAGTATCTGCAACTGGAGCCCATTGGTCTGGTGTTTGTGTTCTTCTTCGCCCTGATTTTGGTCATTCAGTTTACGGCCATGTTGTTCCACCGCTTCGGAACCATCTCGCATATCCTGGCCTCCACGGAACTGAACTTCTGCAAGAAGAAATCCGAGGACCTTACCCAGGATCAACTAATAGATAAGGTTGGTACTATCATCGATGTAATTAAATGGAACTATATTTAAATATTTATTTGCTTAATCCATCTAGCATGCTGTAGAGATTGTGAAGAACTTACAGAGATTACAAGGCATCGATGGCGACTACGACAACGATTCGGGATCCGGACCAGATCGCATAGCCCGTCGAAAGACCATCCAAAATCTGGAGAAGGCTCGCCAGCCCCGTCGCCAAATCGGCACCTTGGACGTGGCCTTTAAGAAGCGATTCCTCAAGCTCACTGCAGATGCAGAGAACAATCCGGCCACGCCCATTCTCACCCGGCGCCTTACCATGCGTGCTGAGACCATCAGGGCGCTGGAGGTGCGCAAAAACTCGGTGATGGCTGAGAGAAGGAAGTCCGCCATGCAGACACTTGGGGCGAAGAACGAGTATGGGATTACCACTGGGGCGCCGGTAAGATTAGGATCTGCGTGAAAGAAGGAGTAAAGCAAGACTACATCGCTTTTTATTTATCTTGTAGATTAACAACAACGGAGCCCTGGCTCCAAATCAAAGAAGTGGACGCGTTTCGAATGCAGGAATCAGCATTAAGGATGTGTTCAATGTGAATGGGGGTCCTGCCGAGGTAAGTCTAGCCATTGATCATCCAAAACTTAATTTAATTAAATTAAAATGAAATCTTCATTATAAATTGCAGCAAATTTACGGCTCAAACGGAGGTGGCACCATTAATCAGGGCTACGAGCACGTGATCGATGAGGACGGCGATGGCAACTCCCTGAGGCTGACCACCCGCAATCCACATCCTCACCCACATCCCCAGGTGTCATGGGGCCAGAACACCAGCGGGGGCAACAACACGGGACGCCTGTGAGCGAAAGCCTGTTCTGCGAAGAAGAAGGCACATCCTAGACATAGTGCTAAGCTAGAGCTAGAGATCTTTGTTAACGAATTCCGCCTCTTTCCATATACTGCCTAAACGTAAGACTAAGCCCACACCTAGAGTTGTAGTCAGGAGGAGATTGTGTTGTACATATTTATAGGGACTCGAGAGAGATTCAGGACATAGCTGGAGCCTGTCGACACAACGAACATTATGCTTAGCTAATCACACTGCCTGTGCCGATGTGTGCATGTTCGTGGGCCGAGTGCGTGCCCACGGTGGCATCAACATTCATACTATGTACTATATCACTATATCACTTGTTAGGTTATGTTTAAGTCAATTCCCGTGTGGATCCAGCCGGACACACGACCAGTGCATGCTGACACAAAATACTCAACGCGAAGCTGATTCGGAAGTGCAGCGTAAGGTGGCCTATTTATAAATATATATTCCAGATAACGATAATAGTTATTTTTAAAAAAAACGATATCTTGAATTTTGTAAAACTTTTGATACAAAAAAAATTAAAAATGAAAGTGAAAGTGAAAATAGGAAAGTGACACTGAGATTTGTCTTGGCTTAGAGCCCCTGGGTTAATATGAATAACTTTATTTTCTGTGGGGAGGGAAATAAGAAACATCGCTAGACTTTGAAGTGGCGGGACAACATTAATAACAAACTATGATAAGTAATAGCAGTAGACACCCATGCGGTAAACGATGTACATAGATAATGGTCGTATATGTGGGCTCGAGTTTACTCTGAGCTAGCTTAATGGAAGAGGAGGTTGCCCTTCTTGGCGGCGATGGGCAGTCTGTCGCCCTGCAAGAACGGATTCATGACGGCAGCGTCCATGCGCGGATCGGGCATTGCCGGATAGCCGGCCTTCTTCACCAGGCTGTTGACGTTATTCAGGCTGTTCTCCTGACCCATCTGCAGGATATACTGCTCTACGGCCGAGTTCAAGTCGCCCTTGTCCGATCCGGCATCGGCACTGTCCTGATCCGAGCAGTCGAACATATGCTCATTGTCGCAGGTGCAATCCTGGGCTGCCTGGAACTCTCGACTGAAGGTGGCCGTGTTCTCAAAGTCCGCGATGCAGCTACCTCCCTGGGTCTCCACATCGTAGCCCTCGGGGCAGGGGTTGGGCGGATTGCAGTAGGCCGGCAGACCAGCATCGTTCTTAACGATGTTGGGGTACCTGTTCGGACCCTCTCCCATGCCGCCAGAGATGAACTGGTGGCCCCACAACGAGCTGTGCTGCAGGAATTCGTGATCACGCAGGGAAGGACTCGAACCTGCACCCGATGGCATAATACAGTCGCTGCCTCCATCACACTGACTAGCATATTCCGAACGGGAGACGAGGTCCACGTTATCCTTGGGTGCTCGGACTCCTTCATTGTCCACGTCATAGTAGCCCACCTGCATGTCGTTATCCATGCGATTCAGCAGATCCGTCAGCAGAACATCGGCCAAAATATCCTTGGAGCCGTACGACTGCCCATAGCATCCACGTGATAGGAGCAGGAGCACTCCAACCACCAAGGGGCCAACTGGAAAAGGGTTGCTTAATCACCTGAAACACATGTCACCCTCATTTCCTGCCACTTACTCTGCGAAGAAGCCAACATATTGCGCATTTTCAACTGATTTATACCGTTCACGTAGGAGTTTGCTGATATTATTGATTTTTTCGGTACCAGCTGCTTCAAAAACGATTGGCTGTGTGTATAACAATGTGACGTAGAGCTCTCCGCCCGATGTGGTGGCTACCAGTTGAATACGCGGAATATATAAAAATGCAACCAAAGCGCTCTCTTTATAAGGCCGTCAAAAACGATAAGGTAGCCGAAATGACGCCTGCGCCGTGCGCGAAAGCTCTTTCATGTTGGAAAAGTCCTTTTACCAACCAAAGATTAGATTAGTGCCCTTAAGATGTTCACAACAAGCCATAAACATTTGCTTTTAAAGAATAATGCTCTAAGATTTTGCTATATTTTTGTCTGCAGTTTGAAACTTAGTGAAGGAGTCATTTCCGACCCTATAAATCATATATATACTTGATCAGCATCATCAGCCGAGTAAATTTAGCCATATCCGGTCGAAAAATAAATTTTTGAATTTTTTCTAAAATGTCAAAATTTGATAAGGGGTTAAAATTTTCAAAAATTGGCAAAAATTTTATTATTTTTTTTTTTTAATTTTAATTTGAGTATGCAGATTTATTAACAAGTTAAAAACTAACATATGATTGCTTTCCAAATTAAAATTAATGCTTTTTTAACTTAGTTATGATTTTTTTAAACTTTGATTTGTCGAAAAAATTATCATATCAAAATTTCACATAAAATCCCTTTACCAATTTCACCGATGTAACCCCTTATAAAATATTAAAGAATGGGGGAAAAATGTTTTGATCCAGACATGTCCAAATCAATTCGGCTTTTGATGCTGATCAAAATATATATGCTTTATAGGGTCGGAAAAGACTCCTTCACTGCGATTTAAGCCTTTGACTGAAATTACAATACCCCGCAATGGTATAAAGTGTCGAGGAAAGGCATGTTAAATATTCTGCGTTTTATTATGGATAGAATCCAAAAAAGTATGAAGTCCAGTAAGTCTTGAATTTATATTAAAAACTAAGGCATATTTAACATAAATATGCAATAAATACAACAAAGGTATGTGAATGTAACTATAAATGAGAATATAAAAGTGTATTATATCTTAACGATACCTTTAACTGTCAAAGAACATGTCCATTTCATCCTGCATGTGTTTAGTCAATAGCTTATGGTTTGCCGTCTTCGAATGCGCTTGAAAGTCCTTGCGAAACTGAAAATTTGTGTTGCAGGGCTCGCATCTGATCATGAGAAGCAACATTGTGAAACAAATATAATATAATAATATAATTAATATATATATGTTAAATGTGCGTTGTAAGCTCTCACCTGAACTTCCACTTGTCTTCTGGGTGAGTGGAACTGTGTTCCTGCAGTTCCAAGACGCTGGGAAAACACATTCCGCATTCAAGGCAAGGATACGGCCGTTCGTTCTGATGAGCTCTGCATTTAAAGATGAGATAAGAAATACATAGCTAAAATCAATTAAAAAAGATAATTAATCCACTGACTTTTCGTGTCGTAACTTGTCTCCTAGAGCAGTGAACACCTCGTTGCAAGTGGAACATTCAAACCGGTGATGAACCAAATGGATCCGAGCCAGGTGATCCTTCAACGTTTTCTTTTTCTTAAAGGACTGCGAACATTCGGGGCACGGAAAGAACTGCTTCATCTCCCGGCGCCCAAGGTGCCCCTCCATATGCTCGTTGTACTGGTCCTCGTCATGGAAGATCCGCCCGCACTCATTGCAGATAAAGAAGTTTTTGCGCCGCTTTAAAGCCCGTTCCTGCTGCTTCTCCTGGATCTCGGCCTGTTCCGCAGCTGCCATTACCAATGCCTCGGGATCTTCGTCCGTCTCCGATTCCCTCTCATCCTCTTCGTCATAGGCAACGAACTCCCCACTGTCGTGGTCCCCCAGCTGGTCCGCGTCAATCAGCTGCTCGTGGAGCGCTGTGTTGGCGTAGTGAGGTTGTCGCGATTTATTCTGTATGTCCAGCAAATACTTTTGCGAGAAGATGCACCGCTCTCGGAACTTGACAGCCAGGTCTAGTTCGGAAGTGCAGCGGTGGCATAGGAACTCTGGCAGTCCTTCAGTGACAGATAGCTAGAAAAACAAAGAGTACCAGCATTAACGAACAAATCTGTGCTTGTGAAACGAGGATACTACCTCCACGCCAGTAATCAGTTTCAGTTGGACATTCAACTTGCCGCGCATATACTTGAATATGTTGCGTTGGCGGCTCTGGTCCTTAATCTGATTCGCGCAAACGCGGCAAACATTTGTGATATCCATTGTTTACTAAACTTATTTCTCGGCTCTGCCTTTTTGTGCTTGAATTAACGCAGAAGAAATCTTTTGGTTGACGGTGGCGATAAGCACCACAGTGGCCAGACACAAATAAACTTGTAAGGCGCACTCTTGTAGCTAATATCTAAGGTTTTAATTGATTTTAACAGTAAATTTGACTACTTTAATTTTTTTGTGGTTTATTATACGCAGTGTGCCCGTTTTTTGTTTTCCCAAATATGTTGACGAGCAACCATCCCTTGCAAACCCGCCGATTAATAGATTAATCGGTTTTTGTGTCAGCTCTAATGCGCGCCATTCCAGCTGTTGGTAAATCCGCAGAAAGAATTGTTTAATATTTTTGTCTGAATTAAAGTGTCAATAGATTGTTAAGTACCAATTGGTAAATTGTAGTGTTTAGCATGTCCAGCGAAGCAAGTCTGTCCTCCAAATGGACGCGTCCCGATGATGTGAGTACAGTTTCAGAACAACACCCACCTGTAACTTACCTTTCTATTGTTTATTTGTTTCAGTTTATCAAGCTCCAGCGGCTTAAGCAAAAGAAGAACAAGTTAGCTGCTCGTGTTAGCAACAACAACAACAACAAGCGACCCGATCTTCAATTAGATGAGACTGACAAGAGCAAACTACTTGAGGCCAAGTTGGCCCAAAAGCGAAAGAATCCATTTGCCAAGTGAGTAAGTGCCTGTGCCCGGGAATTACAATCACCACCACTTGTCAATGCAGGTCCACAGATGGTGCCAAGAAGCTGCGAGTTGATCTAGAAGTGTCGGAAAGCGAGCCCGTGGTCACCGCCTCCTCCTGTTTTGTGCGAGAAACGCCAACTCGTCCGCCGGCTGCAAAGTTCGTGCTCCAGAAGTATGACCCACAAGCCTTTGCCAAGTTATTTCAGCAGCCCCAAGCCAGTGCAGAGGATGAAGAAGATGCTGATTTGGCTGCCCGACAGAAGCACACTGCCCACCTGCCCGTGGACTGGTGCCTGAAGACGCGAGCCCGATTTTTCTGTCCCACAGAGCTGCCCGCCATCCAGCTAAAGACCTCGCAACTGGCCAGCGGCCTAACCAGCTTCGTGCGCTGCATGGATCCGCAGCGGACGGAAAGCACGTTGGACATCTCAGATGCCACGCGGTTCAACCAGTGCACGTACTACTGGCAGCACCCGCATCTGCCCTGGCTGACGCTCTTTCCGCGAACCTCAAAGGAAAACGTTGGCGTGGTCGTAGGCGAACGGGAGCGCAAGGCTCTGGCCGAGGAGTGGGACTACAGCTTTCGGGGACTGTTCCAGCTTTTGCGTGCCCGGCAGTGTCCCTACTTTTACCTGTGCGCCAATACATTTACCGTTCTATTCCGAGCGGCCGGAGTGGGCGGTCGGGCAGAGAGCCATGCTTTGGTCACACCATCAACACGCGGAATGCGTCAGGCCCTGCGGCAGGAGGGCATTGAGTTTACCATGCCGCTGAAGAGCGAAGCAACCGGAAACGCTCAGGACAACAGTTTCACCGAGGAGAGCACTAGCAGCTCTTTACCCCAAGAGGCAGGCGAGGATGTGTCGGCACCTGCCGAGGAAGATGAGGACGAAGACGAGGACTGGCTGGAAAGTTTGGGCGTAGACGAGAGAGAGCTACGTCGCATACAGTCATCGCATGCCAGGAAACAGCAGGCTGCCGAGATGCGTGAAGATTTTAGTGATAACTCACTTCTCCTCATCGATGGCGTTGAGTGCCAGGGATTCTTCAGCTACCTTCTGAATGCCAAGAGTGCCATCAGTACAGTGGGTCGCCTGGCCGGGGTGCCACCCACTCTACTCTCCCCAGTGGCCTTTCCCAAGGCCACCATGCAGCACTTGGTGCCGCGATCCAAAAAGGTCCGCCTCGATGGCGTCGACTACTTCAGCGTGGACATCAAGGGTCTGATCCTACCCACATTCCTGCCCAGTGTGGCGGAGTTACTTTGCGAAACTCGTGAGATGTTCAGCTCAACGTTGGCCAGCAGTATCAACACGCTGGCCTTCAGCAAAGCCACCCAGAAGTTGCTGGAGAGCCCGGAGATGCCCCAATCGGAGGGTGAAGGAGAGGATGCCGCCGGACAGGTCTTTGGCGAGCAGAATCTATCCGAGTGCGGCCTGCTGCCACAAGTAGTGGGCTCCATCTGTCGCACTGGTCAGCATGCCGTCGGTCTTCTAGAGCGAGTTTGTTTTCAAAGGGGCGAAGGATATGCCTGGAGCTAAGGAGCGATCTGCTTTTGCTTAGGCATCGCTCTATATGGCAGCTCGCCTTTTTGTCTTAGTCTTAATTTGTATGTTTTGTTGCACAGAATAAAATTGTCTACTAGCTAATATATATTGAAACCCCTAGGATAAAGTTCAAATTGAAGACCATTATGTTTGGTGCTTAGGCAGCCTTAATCTTAATCTGTATATTTCGTTAGGTGTAATTAGGTTGTGTATAGCTAGTTGTCCACCATGATGAGCTCATCTATGCTCCAGTCCTCGTAGGAGTGGTCCGGAAGGTAACGGCGTATAATAATGGGGATCTTCTTTTGCTTCAGCTCCTTCATGGCGATTTGAAGCGGGTCTGTCTCACCGTCCAGCTCCACCATAATGGGTGCGCACATGGCGATTTGGAGAGCTCGGGTTCCCAAAACTCGAGCACGTTCGTATTTCGTCATGTACTTGGTGGTTATTCGCTTGGACTTGGGAACACCACCCCCTCCTGCTCCACCGGGTGCAATGATCTCTATGTTGTCGACCTCCTCCTCCTGGTTAATGTCCTCGTCCACATCCTCGTCGACATCATCGAAATCGTCGCCACCAACACTGCAAAACAGAAATAACCCAATTAAATAAAATCCTTTAATTATATGTATTTACTAACTCGTCGTTGTCAAAGTCTCCATCATCCATGGCTTGTAAGGTTTAGCGTTTCTCTAATTTAAATAAAAAAATTACAGAATTAACAAAATTCAGCGTGCTTGTCGTGTTTTTGTGTGTTTCGGTGTGACCAACAAGCGACCGGAAAAAAAATGCATTGATTTAAAAACTGTTATACAATGTTGATAGAAATTGCTTATCGATAGTTACAAATAATACTCGATAGTAGTTTATCAATTTTTAGCGGGAACATAAGTAAAACAAGTGAAAAGTGCTCCTAAAATTCTGCGCTTGGACATTAAATATACCTTTAAATGGCCGGCAACTAGTGAACTCAACATATCAGGCAGTGAAAATACCCTAATGTTGGTCAGAACAAGGATGCCACAACTGTGTGCATGGATTGGAACACAAGGATTCCCTTGCCTGCGTCCTGGAATGGTTCCTACTGGTAAGTAAAAGCTCATTCTTTTGGCCCTAAAAACATCGATCCGCTCACGCATTCGGCTTGGGAGTTTTTATTGTCGCATGAGCAATATCTATATCAGCCTAACAATACCAGAAACATCTCCCTTAAACCAGAGTAGTCTTTGCGGCTTTAATGATTTGGCACACATGGAGTTATCGCTTGCTTCTCATTTTTGCTAATGGCAGGAGGAGGGCTGTTCTCTCAGTGGGATTCGAGTAATGCTTATCTAATAGTTAAGCTTTTTAGCAGGGGTTACACACAAGGAAAATTACGGTTAACAGGGCTTGGATCCTCAGCGGCGAGGTCAGGTCTCCCGCAAGTGGAGCCTGAATCGCGTCCCTTGAGTAAGACAAAGTTGAAAGAGGAGTTCACAGTCGTGGTATATAAGAGAGAACTACGTCCTCAATTCACACCAGAAGAGGCAATATTTACATACACACGGGGCCCGTAGACGGGGCTCTAGTTAAACGCGATCTTGTTATTTGTATAAATAAATCCTTGCCGCTGAAGAGGATTTTAATACGATTTTAGCTTAGTAATTATTTTTTAAACATTTTAGTTCAGGGCTTTCACTCAAAAATGAAAAAAAAACTTTCTATATATTGCATACAGTATAAATAATTTGCATTCATCGTAATTTCAATGATTACAGTTTCAAATGTTAATTTAGAAGTAGATTGAATACTCACCTATTACGGGCAGTGCGAACCATCACTTCGGCAGCAGGTGAGGTCAATTACCGAGGATTCTGTAGGAAATCCAGTATTATACGAACTTATATTGTATCAATGATGTAGCGATCGGTAACTACCGCAGGATTGCGATCTGGATGACGATCGACATCTGGGCCCATATGGATGACAGATAGGCTTACAACATGCAGGCTTACAACATGCAGGCTTACAACAGGCAGGCTTACAACAGGACCTCTTTCGAGGGGAACAGCCCCGTTCGCAATCGTAGTCCACATGAGTGTGGATGGCTACATTCATCATTTTACCTCCTCGATGCATTGCCGATGGCGAACATCCCCGATTCCGGTTGCCCCTAGGCGGGCATACATAGACGTCTGAGCAGTCGTTATTGATAACATGGCAGGAAGACTGACAGGGATTCAAGGGTTCGCACCGCGGGCCCAGGGGGTGATGATATACTAAGTTGTTCCTCGGGAGGTTAGGCACGGGATAAGCTTCTCGGTGACATCCTGTTCCGCAATGCGTAGGCCGTCTGCAACATCCGTATCCAGGACAGCTGAAGCAGCTTTGCTTGGTTCGCGTGTTGCAGTTAACCAACTGCCTGACGGGAGTTGTCGGACATACTACCTCATGTGTGGGGTAACAGCGTCGCCTGGAACAGCATGAGGAAACACGGCTGCAACAGCAGCTGTGGTTAGATCCTCGTCGCAGGCAGCAGTGACGACTGCGACTTCGTTCCCGACACCGATGGCTGCTACCACAGAGGCCAAGCTCTCTGAAGCGTGGCGACTGTGAACGATAGCAACTACTGCTGGTGTCCAAATCATCATAGTAGTGGCTAACTGTGCACCGTCGTGACGGCGACAAACAGCCACGATTCCTGCTTTGTCGGCACCCTGTGATGAAAGTTTGATGGTTACGGAAAGGTGTTACTTGTTTTACTGATTTACTTGCCCATTAGCAATCACTATTGATTTTTATGTTCAAAGAAGGAAGAGCAGGGACTGGAAATTTAGCTGGACCAAAATAGAGTATAAATTTCATGTTGTGTTTGTGTTTCTGTTATGTATTTCTGTATCTGTGTTGTCTGCCCGGTAGCGCCTGCTGGGATCCGATCTCTTACTGGATAACGCACTTTTTCTTCTTATGCTGGGAGCGGCAGTGAGCGCAGGCCGCAACAGGTCGTTGATAGGGCACCGGACCTCGGTTATGGTTCTGGGACAGGGCATGTGGACGTGCGTGGTATGGCACTGCTGCGGCGGCTGCGGGGGCTGCAATGGGGCGCATGTGCATGGCTTCTGCGCGGCTGCTGGCTGGTTATCGCGGCAGCAGCATTGGGGGGTCGCTATGATGACCGGCGCTTGGGGGGAGGACGGCAGCAGCTCACAACGTCAGCCTGGATAGGCGGCGGACGGACGTTGCGGACCCGATTCTGGGTGCAGTTGCATTCAATTTGCGGTCGCTGCGGCTGGTGTTGCTGTATTTGGCAACCCGCGAGTTGCTGAGGTGGACACGGATTCATTTGCTGCTGAGGTGGACACGGATTCATTTGCTGCTGAGGTGGACACGGGTTCATTTGCTGCTGAGGTGGACACGGATTCATTTGCTGCTGAGGTGGACACGGATTCATTTGCTGCTGCTGCTGCTGCTGCTGGACGCAGGAGGGCGGCGAACGGTGGCACGGTTGTGGTGCACCGCCGGTGGTGCCGCAAGGGCAGGTGTTGCACTTGCCACCAGGTGACGCTGACGGAGGTGTATTTAGCGATGCGGGATTCGCGGCTTAAAGACGATACAATACTCACACATTTTGAAGAAAAGGGCTTAGTATTGGGTCTCCCACACAGGCTATGCTACCGACAGGCTACTATAAACTGACAGTTCCTGACAGAATTCTCGAAGCGAGTTTTCCGGGTCGAATATACTTAAGTATGTATCATATTTCGTACGAGTTTATTAGTTTCCTGATGGCCCCTTTACAAAATAACTGGCCATTGAATCTGAATAACAAATTCTCATGTTATTTACTTTCAATAATTTGATTCGATTTGAATATGTACCGAAAATTTCCAGACTCAGTTCAGGCTAATCTGAGTTGATTAATTTCATAGTTTGTAAAGGTTTCGTAATATGAAGTTTACTAATGTTATAAAAAGTTGATTGCACTGTCTTGGCTGTGCTGATATGCCAAAGTAGCTAAAACAGATTTACTTGCTTAGGTTTTGAGCATCAGGCTGGTGTATGATTCCAATCATGTCGTGATGTGCCACATGGGCGATTCCCTCTCCAAGTCCATCAATCCGCTGATCACGGGCCATTCAAAGGGCATTCCGGAGATCGGAGTGCGACCATTGGAGCTTTGACTACCTCTGCGGGAAACCCAAAGTACATTTTAATCAAACTCCACCTCCTAAACTTCGCCTCCTAAAACATGAAGGTCGCCGGCTGCTCTTTGAGACCAATAACAGGAAAGCAGCAACATACCCTTGAAGTGTATTCTAATTTTAGTCAGAGACTTGCAACGCATTGACGGAATCATTTCCGATCCTATAAAGCATAAATATTCTTAATCAGCATCTACAGCTGGGTTGATCCAACCATTTCCGGTCAAAATAAAATTTAGAATTTTTTTTTTAATTTTCAAAATTTGATAAGGGGTTACATCGTTAAGATTTTAAAAAATTTACAAAATTTCAATTTTTTAAATTTTAAATTAAGTATGCAAGTTTAATAAACTAACAAAACTAACATAGGAACGCTTTGCGAATTTAAATTAATGATTTTTTGGCCTAGTTATGAGTTTTTTAAATTTTGATTTATCGTCAATTCAAAGAATTAGTTAGTTATGATTGAATTTCGATGCGATCCTATAGTTTAATTGCAAAATGCAAAGGTATATAAGCTTCTTTTTCTATTTCTATTCTTGTTATTAATAATATACTTAAAAATCCGTTTGCGCACTACCCAATTACTATTAACTAACTGTTGATAGTATGCAATATTCTGTGAGGGGTTCTCTATATCCAGAATTTTAAAAACCAATTCCTAAAATCAAATCAAATCAACCAAAAGATTGCTTCAACCAAATATTTAAATTTAAGTCTCAGCATTAATCTCTGTTTATTGAGATTTTTTAAAACTTTTTAAAATTGTTTCTGGGAATCGAAATCAATATATTTTTTGAATTAACGCTGTCACACTTCCTCTACGCGTCTATACGTCTTTTTTTACATTTGACATATAAAATCTAGATAATGAACCAGTGTCATAACCGCTTCACCGTGCGCTTTTTCTGGTATATTTTAGGCACAACTGAAATACATTTTTCAGAGGCATAACAAATGGAGCTTTTCAGCAACTGTCTCAGTGAGAAACTCGAAGTCGGCGGAAATCAACGGTTGTTATAGCGGCGACGGAAATTACATGTTTGCCAAATTTACAAGTTTTGCAAATTCTTTGTTTTTGATCCGCGAAAAGGGGAGCAGTGCCGGCGCAGACTAACAGGTCATGACAAAGAGCCGTTAGCACCGCTTTTCTGTTGTGTTATCGGTGACTTCTGTGCGTCAGTGTATGTGAAAGCTAAGTGCAAGTGCAAGTGTGCGAAACTGCAATGCGTATCCGTATCGAATTTTCTTGATTTCCCAACGAGCGAAAGGAAAAAAAACTGCGCAACTGCAACAAAAGAAAACGCCGTGAAGTACTTGTATGGATAAGCAGACAACATACCTGTCAACTAGGTAAGTTCCCAACAAAAACTAGAAAACCGGCATTCAAATTAGAGTATAAAGACGGGGGAGAACGAGTAAGGGCATTGGCTGGTACGGTAACCCGTATGTCGAGTGGAAATTAGTTGAAATTAAAAGCAGAAATTCAAGCCAGGCACACATACCAGCGTACCCCACACCCACACACTCTCACACACAGAGCCCAGCTGCGTTTGTTGTTGCCCCTCACAGCTGTGTTTTGTTCTGATAACGGTGCTTGGCGTAGTATGGAAATGACAGATGTCTCGCTCTCTCCCCCTCTTAACGATGTCATCCCTCTCACACAAACTATTGGAGGCGAGTGCGAGTGAACCGAGATTTGGGGGCTTTTTTTTAAGATTTGTTATTGTTTTAGGGGTTGCTTAGCGCTGCCATCCCATTTGGCCTGCGGCCAGTCCCAATGTGAACATTTCAGTAGAAACAGTACAGAAACGAAATATTAAATTATCAAGTCCAAGTTCAATGAACAACAACTGAATCTGAAATGTGAAAAGATTAGCAATTTTTATAAATTTTACTTTAAGTTTAAACTGAAATATTGAAAATCTCATAAGTAAAACTCTTAAACTCATTAGAAAAGAAAAATAAAACAGTTCAATGACTAATAATAACTTTGCACTATTCTTATCTTCAAAAATATAATTAATTTGGTTTTTACAAATAACTAAATGATAACCAATAAGCAAAATATAGTTTATAAAGTCAAACATTTATTGGGGTGAGCTATAAATGTACCAATCGGGCAGTCTGTTATTCAAATATTTTCTGTCCCAGAAACTGTATAAATTTCTTCTAATGGTTAAAAATAGCCGGCTATTATTTTCCAATTGAATACTGTAAGCTTGTTTTACTCTATGCAATTTCACCTTTTTTTCAAACAATTTCTCTAACCAGCTGTGCATGCAATACTGAAAAAATATTTGTGTACTAGCCAGCTGCTTTATAGCACTGATTAATGCTCTCACACAATTTAGTGGGAGCTCCTAATGTTGTTTATTGTGTTGTAGTTTTTTGACTTTTTGGTGTGGATTGCGTGTTCCGTCGAAAAGGTCAGACGTGGGTTGATCTATGGCCGCCGCGATAAAGCAGGTCAAGATGGTACAACGCCCGTAAGGGTAAAGCAAGTTATGGGTTAGAGCCTTAGGAAAGTGCTATCTATTCTAGAAAATGTTTTTTTTTAATTATTGATAACTTTACCATGTGTACTTCTCTTTCCGCTCCATCTCTCCCATGTATTGTTATCAGTTTACCCCCTATAAATGTGGTTCACATTTCCGCTCTGTGCTCGTTTAAGCCACACATGCATTGATTTGTCATTTATCCGGGCCATAGACACCAGCTGGAAATAGTCCTACATGACTCCTCGACTCTTTCACATTGTTAAGCATACTGTAATTAAATACTTATTGCTGTCAGGCGTTCTGATATCGAAATGAATCACAGGTATATAAATTTAATGAATTTAGACACAGGTGTATCGGGTACTAAGAAGTTAATGATACAGAGAAATGAATACAATTTATTGTCTAGACAGTGCGATAACAGTATTTAATATCGATTATATATGCTATGCAAATTCAATTTCCGTAGAGTATATTATTGATTTTTTCCGCTTTTTGGTGTTAGTAGTGCCATGACGAGTTAGGTTCTCATGTTGACCAGCAACACTCACGTTGTACTTTAACCATAACTTGATGTCATCTATCTTATCGACTCCATACGAACATACATATGCATGTATGTGTAAAGCATCTAGTAAAGAGGAATATATATGGTGCTCTCCAAATGCCTACGACGTGTCATGCAGAACCCACACATTTTCAGAGATAACCCAAGTCTATACATAGGGTACTAAAGCACTCGATTGTTATTGTTTGAGTTGCTGATAAGCCAGTGCAGATAAAATTGCGAATTCGAACGGTTCCTTACGAAATAGGTACGAATTTCCACACCGAGCTTATAATTACACATATTCTAAATATTATCTTGTGAAATATTTTGTTGTCGTTTAGTGCATTTTGTAAGTTGAATTATCCAAACAGATCTGTTGCGTGTTCGCTAATTAGCAGCATGACTAGGGGTCGACTTTGTAGTTATTACAGAACAATAAGCGATTTAATAAAAAAAGAAATAAGCGAATTTATTATCCCATTCTAATATAGCACCCTATTAGTTGTGTGTTATCAAAGCAAAGCCCCCTTTCGACCCCCTATCATTAATAGCAAATTGCCGGGTTCCGCTTCCCTTTGCCACATCATTCCCAATTCGAGCAGCCTTCGTTTGGAGTAATATTATTCATATTTTATTTAATTTACTTTGCGTGTATATGTTTACACATTTCCTGAGGGGACGCCTCTTGTTTGGCTGTTTGTTTTGCTTTCAATTTCTGTTTTCCGATGAGTGGCATTTCTGTTCATTTCATTTTGTTTTTGATTGATTTTTTTTCATCTTTTGTTTGCCGTAGAGTGAGAGATGAATAAATGTTTATTTTCGTTGGCTGCTGTTGTCTGATTTATTTATAAAAAAAAATTTTATTCATTACAAAGAGAATGTTAAAAGTTAATTATTTTTGGCATCGCATCGTGGTTCGCTGAGCCTTAAACATTATAATAAGCAAATTGAACTCAGCATTATTTTAATTGTGTCGTGCAATTAGTTCAAGTGAAAACGTGGGGTGAATTTTTATATACATTACTTTTTTGTATACTTATATTCTTATAAGAAAAACAAGAAAGGAAACTAACTTCGGAAAGCCGAAGTGTGTATACCCTTGCAGTAAGCCAAAGGATCATGTTTGCGAATATACAATAGTGGTATATTAATTATTAAATTAAAAATGCATAACTTAAAAAACTCATAAATAATACCAAAAATGCATTAATTTCGATTCAAAAAGCTATTCTATTCTAGGTTTTGCATGGTTAACAAATACATAAGTATACTTAGTTATCACTTTTTAAAAATTCAATTTTTTGTCGAATTTTGCCAATTTTAATGATGTAACCCCTTATAAAAATTTCAATTTTTAAAAAAAATCTCAAAAATGTATTTTTACATTAGACATGGCTAGATCGATTCAGCTCTTCATTCTGATCAAGAATATATATGATTTATAGGGTCGGAAATGATTCCTTCATTGTGTTATAAGCTGCTGATTAATACTAATACCCAGCAAAAAGGTATAAAAACAGGCAATTTTTTCGAATAATCAGAGTTTCTCAAACGTCATAATTAAGCCAGAAATGCATCAATTTCAATTCGGAAAGCTGTTTTATGTTAGTTTTAAAAGCGCTAACAAATCTGCATACTGCGTTTGTTGATGCTGTTAAACGATTCTGACTAAAATTATAATAACCTGCAAATAGGTATAAAAACAGAAAATTTTTGTAATTAATCTGTGTTTTTCAAACATAATAGTTATGCCAAAAATGAGTTTATTTCAATTCGGAAAGCTGTTCTGTGCTAATTTTTAAAGCGCTAACAAATCTGCATACTGCGTTTTAAGATTTAATAAATTCAATTTTTTGTCGAATTTTGCCAATTTTAATGATGTAACCCCTTATAAAAATTTCAATTTTTGAAAAAAAACTCAAAAATTTATTTTTACATTAGACATGGCTAGATCGATTTGGCTCTTCATTCTGATCAAGAATATATATGATTTATAGGGTCGGAAATGATTCCTTCATTGTGTTATAAGCTGCTGATTAATACTAATACCCAGCAAAAAGGTATAAAAACAGGCAATTTTTTCGAATAATCAGAGTTTCTCAAACGTCATAATTAAGCCAGAAATGCATCAATTTCAATTCGGAAAGCTGTTTTATGTTAGTTTTAATAGCGCTAACAAATCTGCATACTGCGTTTGTTGATGCTGTTAAACGATTCTGACTAAAATTATAATAACCGGCAAATAGGTATAAAAACAGGCAATTTTTTAAATTAATCAGTGTGTTTCAAACATCATAGTTACGCCAAAAATGAGTTTATTTCAATTCGGAAAGCTGTTCTGTGCTAATTTTTTAAGCGCTAACAAATCTGCATACTGCGTTTAAAGATTTAATAAATTCAATTTTTTGTCGAATTTTGCCAATTTTAATGATGTAACCCCTTATAAAAATTTCAATTTTTGAAAAAAACTCAAAAATGTATTTTTACATTAGACATGGCTAGATCGATTCAGCTCTTCATTCTGATCAAGAATATATATGATTTATAGGGTCGGAAATTATTCCTTCATTGTGTTATAAGCTGCTGATTAATACTAATACCCAGCAAAAAGGTATAAAAACAGGCAATTTTTTCGAATAATCAGAGTTTCTCAAACGTCATAATTAAGCCAGAAATGCATCAATTTCAATTCGGAAAGCTGTTTTATGTTAGTTTTAATAGCGCTAACAAATCTGCATACTGCGTTTGTTGATGCTGTTAAACGATTCTGACTAAAATTATAATAACCGGCAAATAGGTATAAAAACAGGCAATTTTTTAAATTAATCAGTGTGTTTCAAACATCATAGTTATGCCAAAAATGAGTTTATTTCAATTCGGAAAGCTGTTCTGTGCTAATTTTTTAAGCGCTAACAAATCTGCATACTGCGTTTTAAGATTTAATAAATTCAATTTTTTGTCGAATTTTGCCAATTTTAATGATGTAACCCCTTATAAAAATTTCAATTTTTGAAAAAAACTCAAAAATTTATTTTTACATTAGACATGGCTAGATCGATTCAGCTCTTCATTCTGATCAAGAATATATATGATTTATAGGGTCGGAAATTATTCCTTCATTGTGTTATAAGCTGCTGATTAATACTAATACCCAGCAAAAAGGTATAAAAACAGGCCATTTTTTCGAATAATCAGAGTTTCTCAAACGTCATAATTAAGCCAGAAATGCATCAATTTCAATTCGGAAAGCTGTTTTATGTTAGTTTTAATAGCGCTAACAAATCTGCATACTGCGTTTGTTG